AATTACAAAACAAATAATATTATTTCGCAGGCAATTGGGAAAATACATGACAATATTCGAAAATTCTTTGGAAAATAGAGCTATGAAAATACAAGTGAGCTGAAGTCACTTAAGTTTCGAGTGTAGACTGAGAGTCCTCTAATGTGCAGCTCGTGAACTATCGAAAAGAATCGTCGACACATTAAAGTGATGCTAGACCGACACATAATAATATTTCAAGTATCTATATGACCAAATCCTTTTAAATTTGTTCAACTCAACTCACTGGTTTACTCCTCCAAATGAAATTGGAAGCTACAATGCTTTTAATACCAAAATTGAGACGCTTTGCTTGAACTCACGCGAATAAAGTTGCTAGAGCGATAAAGCTTGGTACATTCATTTTTAAATATAAAATATTTTCCAACTTAGTGACCTGTCAGATAATAAAGATAGTGAACCAGACAGTAATATACTATGCAAACTAGTTTATTTTAAATTACACGCATAATTAACTTGCAATTTAAATATTAAATTTTTTAACATTTCTTGTTCCATCATTTCAACCAAGTAAAGCAACAAATTAGCACTTTATCGATAAGCATTTTAATCGCAAATGCATACAAAAGCAATCACAAGCAAGCTTTAAGTGTATTTAAAGCGATTTACAAAAAGTACACTGTTGAGGTACTATAGTACTTAAGTTTAAACAAAGTATATTTTATAGTGTACTTTAAAGTTGAATGAGTATTATGGGGGTCTGGGTAGGGAGCAGACTTCCGCAGACGTTAATGTGATGCGTCATCTCACCAGGGGAGCGCCGCCCTATCCTGATTTTGATTGATTTTCACTCACCCCATTGCATACCCGGAATTGCCGTGAACAGGGAGGTGTGTGGATTACGATTTTTTAAGTAATTTAAACTACAGTATGTTTTGTAACCGCGGCGAAACAAAGCATGTGTGCAAGTGTCAAGCACTTGACTTGCAATCTCCAGGTCCTGGGTTAGAATCCTGCCATGTACCAATGTGTTTTTCGATTTCCGATTTACATATATACATTTATCTGACGTTCTGATGGTGAAGGAAAACATCGTGATGCAAGCTGTAGATACCTGAGGATAAATTTAAATATACGTGTAAAATTAACCAACTTGCACTTGGCTAACGTGGTTGACTATGACCTAATCACCCTTAATTTAAGGTAGGCTCCGAGCCCCTCTGTGGGAACGTATAGTGAACTGATGTTAAAATAGTACATGGTAATTTTCAGAATGAAATATAATGAAAATAAATACTACAAACAGAATGAAAATCAATACAAAATAACATTTATTGTGTAAGCGTAAACTCAAAACTTTGTCCCTCCCAAATGAACCGCTCAAACCCTAATTCCTTATAAAACTTAATAGCTATCATAAAATGCTTGGGTTGGGGTACGATAAAATCCATTTAGAACACTAGCGTTTCATTTAATTCACGTCACTATAGTGCGTCGCATGCGGCACGCGAGCTGCGAGCCTGCAGTGCTATTAATCACTACCGGACTGAGACACAACGTCGCCAATTCTATGCTACCTGACTATAGGCCACATTACAGATATACGTCACGACGACGGCTCCCACGCAAATAGTCATAACCCATAAATTGACATTTTTCAAGAGCTATTTTAATGTGCTTTATATAAAAGTGTTTTTGTCTCTAAAGTATATTTTATTCAAATAATCATTATTAAAATTTCATTCAAAAATAGACTTGTGTCTTCGACGAATGTTCATGCATATGAATATTATAATATCCTATATAAAATCGGTCGCCAGGTATGAATTTACAGATTTTGTTCTATAACAAATCATTCGTATTCATATTATATGAATTGTAGATTAAAGTAAATCGATTTAAAAAGCAATCACTTTATGTAAATAGGCAATGGTATTCAATCGCCTTGCACTCAGTGCGGACAATGATTCACAGGGAGGACTGTAGGGGCGGAACGCTTCCCTCGCTCGAGCAACGAGCAGACAGATATATTGTGAATTGTGACTCATCACCTACACAAATCACCGAACGTTTTCACTGCTGAAATACCTTGACATATATATTGTCATCCCTTTCATACTCTTTGAAAAAATAAACAGAGATAACTATATTTTTACAAGTGTCAACTGTGAAAACTCAACAAATTAAAGTTTAGAAACCTTCATATCTGAAACTTTGTTCCATAGTGGAGCCTATGTGTAATAGTAGATTTTTACTGCATATTTCGGACGTCTATCAATATAGATGTTCTAGTTATCTTTATGTATTTGAGAGCGGCTTGCAATAGGCCCATCGACACAAGACCGTCATTCCGTGCCCGTTGACTTCGAGCGTTGTCGCCCAGTGCCAAGTTTCAATGACCCTTTAATTCGTGGACATTGCAAAGCTCTACTGGTGTTTACTAAAAATATTTCAATCCTGCATCCGAATGAAGTATGAACACATAAAGGTTTTAAAATTTGCCTGTTTAAATGTAAACACTTGGCTCATATTATTCAGCCACAAAAAAGGATTTGAAATTTTTATTATAAAAAGAATGAAACGTTGAGGTTTAATAAATAAAACTTTGACATATTGTTACGCTGTTTACGGCATGTTTGAAAGTGTATCACGAATTTTTTACTTCGTTTTATCATTATTCTATACGGTAGCAATTTCATTAACAAGTTTTGCGATATTCGATTATTTATTAAAAATAAATTTAGCGTAAAGGTTAATAAAACGATGCGCTCGTCGGCAGCAAATAGTTTACGGACGAGGCGATTCAGCCTTTCATTGTCGCCGGTATTTCGTAACGATGATATGTGGACCTGCAGTGCGCTTACGGCAGGAATATACACGTGGTACAAACATTGTTTCGTAAAGTTATGAATTACGAAACAAAAGACACAAATGATTTAAGGGATCCTCTCTTAACTCTGTTCGATTTTTACCTAGACTTTAACCAACGAAATTATCTACACATTTTGTTCTTTTCTGTTATAAATGCCTTTGACAAAAAAGGATTTTTCTATCATTAATAGCCTGTAAGATTATTTTGCGATGCACGTTTCGCGTTTCTGAGCGTAACTTTTCTGACCTTATATTCATATTTATTATAAACATTTATAAGAATCTTGTTTACAATTACGAAGTATAAACCTAAGCTAAGCGTTAGCAAAAGATCGTGAAATAAATACAAGTTGAATAAACTGTATTCCCGTGAGTATGGATTTATTATCGCGGCACCGATATAACTTTGTGGACGCCTCGGGAAAGCACAATAAAGTTTTATGCGCAACAAACTTTCTTACCAGAACTACAATGCGCTTACTAGAATATACTATGTGCTACATTTATATTTGATTCAAGTCTCCAACTCTGCCTGTACAAAATAAATGAGATGTTTTATAGGAAAAGATGGCAAAACAGACAAGCGTATTCATTTACCATTTAATAAAAGCTTTCCAAGTTTCCAACATTGAATAGGCAAGCTGTAAGCGGAAGCGCCAAGCACTGCCTAACTTTTCTAATACGAGACTTTACTAATATCGATCGCATCTCAAGGCCCGGACCGCGAGGTCAGATCTACGTGATTCTAACTTAACATTTCACCTTATGCAGTTTACACTATCGATTTATATAAAATAGACCAAAATTTTCAAAATTATCCAATCTACAAATAGGCATTTAACTTCTAGTTATCTATTGATCGTAATGTTACAAATATGAGTGCAAATGTTTAGATGTAAGGATGGATGGATGTTTGTATGTAGGTATATCCAAAACGGCTTCATGGATCACTATAAAATTTACCATAGAGGTAAAACATGGTCTGGAAGAACACATAGGATACTTGCACACTACATGCAAACTAATTTAAAACACATAGTCTTCCCTGTAGTAGGAATTATCCGTGAAAAACCAGATATAACAATGATTTTTGTAAATTTGTTTCGGAAGTGGAAACTCACAGTAACTCAATACCTGCATCTAAAAGTTGCACTACACCAAAGATCGATAGTTGGTAATAAAATATTTCGCACAGTCGCTGCGCTGTTACAAAAGTTTGGAGCGGAAATACCCGGACCTGGAGCTGGATATTACGTCGAGTGAAATATGTTAGTAAAGATTGTTGCAATACATCACAAAACACTAAATGTACCTTATGTGTAGTACCGTAACAAAACGTACGAAAGGGTTAAAATATAAATATAGGTACAAATAGGAAACAAACAATCCAAATAGATAAAGGAGAATTAGCGTCTTTAGTAAAATGTCTACAACTTTCCTGCTGATCTTGCCCGTAAAGGGACTATCCTTGGTGAATCGTACTTTACTATCTAATCTCTATTCTCGAATGGAAACGGAAATATCCGGCTTATCAATTCAATCTCTTCTTCTGTACATAATAAAATATCTAGCGAACCAAATCAAATCATTAAATACGCTTCGTCTATTCACAAAATAAAAATATTTTTTCTTTACAAAATGTGTTTTACTCGTGTTTATAAAATAATCACAAAGCGTAAAATTTAGTTTTTTTTTTGATTATACAAACCAAATTATTAGCTACATTTTTACATCAACTGTGTATGTTTTATTTCTTATCACTTGCGATATTATTTCTTTTTTTTATTTCTGCCTGACAGACAAAATGGTAATTTTATGACTTTGTCGCTTTCCATTATGGCCCTCTAAAATGTAATTTGATTAATGGTAATAAGCAGCGTATCATTTGAATTTTATTCTCTGATTTGTTGCCCGCGATTCCGTCTGCGCGGAATTAAAAAAACTTAAGTAGTAGCTTAAGTATTCTTCCAGACTTAGTTCTATATGTATGCCAAATTTTAGCGAGATGCTTTTAGCCGTTCTGTAGATACCTTCAAACAAACATCCATCTATCCTTCTAAACATTCGCATTTAAAATATTAGCAAGGAGTAAGATGTAAGATTTTTTTCAATATGCAGTCAGGGTAGTGATGGCTAACTATTTGTTCTAGATGGACGGTGGTTTGCTCCTGAGGCAGGTGGGTGTGGAAGACGAAGGTCTATACGAATGCGGCGTAGAGAACGAGACGGCGTATGTCGACAGAGTCAATCTCACAGTCAGAAGTTAGTATCAATCTATTGACAATAATAATAATCAAATGTCACATTTTAGATCGCGACTTCGTCCATGCGGAATTTGAAAAAAACAATTTAGTAGCCTATATGTTTTTCCTGTCGTTGTGCTATATTTATGCAAACATTCATCGAGATCTGTTCTGCCGTTTAGGGATAAGATACCTAGGCAAACAAATACAGATATAGGCAAAAAATCATCCCTCCATCTAAACATTCGCTTTTATAATACAAGTAAGAAGGAAGTACTAGTAAAATTCAATAAAACATGAAACAAAATACAAACGCTATTTGTTTTGTTTTGGGTTTTAACAAATGAAGAACATTTAATGCTGTTAACATTTCGCTCACGAATCACCTTACTATGCGACATAAAGTTTATTGATAAACACAATACTAAAAAAATCTGCAATAAAATTAATAGACTACATAATTGAAACAGCGGTTTACAACTTAATTACGTTCAGTATTATCTAAATGACGGTTAACGATCGCAGTTACCGTCGTCGTTTAACTGGTGTGCGGCACGTTTTAAAATCGACTCGTTTACAGCTTATTTACGACTTTTTGCCGCTTTATGATAATCCAAATGTGACATTCACTTAAAAATATTGACTACTGAAATGGCTTCCTAAGCTTATTTTAAACTGTTCTTTATTTCCACAGTTACCGTAGAGTTCCACTGTTGACAACTGTACAAAACTCTATATTTTTTTGGAACCACTGCATGATGACAATTTTATTTGTAAGAGTATTTTGATAATGAAAACCCAAATTAAGACAAGTTTGAATTCTCGTCTCCCTCAAATGTTTAATTTCAGAATCTCATAATTTTGATCTGCAATCAACTTTAGCACGAAACACATCATAAAATTGTAAACGGGCAACAGCTACTAGTATTTGTTATCAAAAATGCATAAACAAATAGTCGTATAATACTATTGTACGAACTAGACGTTGTCAGCAAGGCCGCAGCAGCATCCGTCGGAGAAGACGGGTCACATGGCGTAGTCTGGTAATGACGTCCATTATCCATCGTCCAGCAACGCTAGACACCAGCTCGCAATACAATCTATCACATTTATGTTGTTAAATCACTGCAGCTGGGGTCTTGCTGTGCTGGTCACCATGACTACGCCTATTTCAATAATGACAGTCTGTAAAGTGAGGTGACATTGTAAAGCGTTACCTAACGCTGTTTGATAATGTCGTATGTTAAAATATGTATATAGGTGCTATATACATAAGGTTAGGTAAAACAATAGTGTACCATTTACTTACTGCTACGTCCAAATGAAATTCTTTATGTACACACTATCTTTTCAACGCGTCAACGCGGATTTAAAAAAAATCTTAATTAGTAGCCTATGTGTTCTTCCAAATTATGTTCTACATCTATGCCAAATTTGACCAAGATTCATAAAGTCGTTCTGAAGATACCATCTAACAAACATCTATATATCTAAACTTTCGCATTAATAATATTTGTAACATGGAAGATGATGTTTCAAAAGACTATAATCTCCTATTTAGTATAATTATAGTAAATGTTGCACAAATTTTCTCATAAATTCTGTAAATTCCGGTAAGATGACGTCATCTCAGGCAGATCGATAGAGCAAAGCCCAGAATAGGTGTGCTCTAAGAAGAAAGTATAAGACTACGTTACTCAAACTAGCAAATACATGAGTTAATCCTACATATTATAATGATCGTTAATAAAAAAAAAAAAACAAATAAAAGCCTGGCAGTCAATAAAGATTTTTTTTATACATATCTTGTTTTTCTAATGCTTCTTTTTTCAAAGATTCTTTTGGGCAGTCAAGTAGAATGTATGCAATCACATTTTCATTATACGTCCCTGTGGGGCGATGTCCTTGATTTAAATTGTCAATAAGCGTGGATCGATAGAAATTCGTTCAGCAAAACAATTTAATTCATGTAGGTTTACCATGTAACGCAATGATGGAAGACATACGGACATACAACTTTTTTAAATTAATTAAACTGTAATATATTCTATGGTTAAATTCAAAGAGGGTCTAGAATTTATCAGTCTAAATTTATTGTTGCTTTATACTTAGTAAAGTCCTAAGGTGTGATTATTCCAGGACTTTCTGGTAACCAAGAACACTGATGACTGATTTTAACTTAAATCTATAATATTCAGGACACCGCAAAGAATTGGTAAAACTAGTCCCCTAAGTATCCAGTCTGTTGACCCAACTGTGTATATTAGGCGAGGTTTCTATTGACATAGTCTGCCGGCAATAAATGCTCTTTATTAAATTACGTAGCTGTCGCCAGGGAAGGCTTTTGCGATTGTTATAAACGGGAATTAATCAATTATATTCGAGTTCAAACTTTAATTGTAACAATATTTATGATTAAATCGTAGTTCACAAATCAACATTGCATCGCGTTCTCGAGCAATTAATGCAAAAAAAACAAAAAAAAATGTTGTATAAAATCATACTGCATAAATATAATACAACATACAAAATATCGCTTTCAAAACGTTTTAACGGTTAAAAGGAATCTCACAATACATAGTGTAAATTTGAATTTAATATGAAAAATCTTCACTAAGTGCAACAATAAATGTAATAGAAATATTCATTTGCAGCGGAACCCCCTCCATTGGTGAATGTGACGGTGCACGCGTCCACCATCCTGGCGCTGATCTTGTGGAACGTGGCAGGTGATGGTGGACACCCCATCATTGACTTCACGGCGCAGTATCGCTCAGCCGCGCCTGTAAATAACACACTCGAGCCTTGGCGACCAATCAGTCCTAATCATATCAGTCCTAACTCGGTGAGTAAAAGTCTTCAGTGTAGTTGGCCATTCCGTACCAAAGGAATAGACGAAATAACTTGTAGAGATCAAGAAGGTACGTGCGGAGTCAAAATCATCCAAACCGCGCGTGACTCCCGCGATTCGGCCCGTATGACCTGATGGCCGGTGGGGCTGGGGTGTGGTAGGGAGTGTTGGTGGGCTTAATTATTATTAAGGAAGCCCTTGTCGCTATATTTAATTTCCTATCCTCTCGTTTATTTCACATCTTCTGCAAATTTTAGATCTTGTTTGTTGAAGGATAGCTCTATGTAGACCAAACCAAAACTCGTAGATTACCTTCTACATCCTAAGGTTGCAAATTTATACTTACTTTTTTATCGTAATAAAACTCGGGTATATATAATAATAATAGTTATTGTGTGTTATTACAGCGGCAAGTGGATGTATATCACTTGGAGCCTAACGCGTCGTACTGGTTCCGAGTGTGGGCGACTAACGCACTGGGCCCCGGTCCTCCGGTCGAGGTCCTTGCCACCACGCTCTACAGCGACCAGGAAGCGGGTTCGTTAATCTTTATTATAGATTAAACATGTCCGAATAATAAACACATGTAATTCATCTTAGGCTCTCACCTTATAATGTTAAAACGTGATAGAAAATAACAAAAAAAACGCAAAATAATAAAACAACGGGCGACAGTTATAGTTCACATATGAAATTTTAATTGAAATCAAACACTAATACATTCCAGAGTTATACAAACACTTCCTAGAGGGCGCTGAGAGTTTTGACACGCGCACGTGGCTGGCGGCCGTGTGCGTGGTTATGGGCACGCTGGCCGTCCTCGCCGCCGGCACATGCGCCGTGCTCTGCCGCGAGTGGCGCCGCCCCGGTGAGCACACGCCCTAGACTACCCACTACCCATAACCCAATATCCAACACCCACTACCCACTACCCACAACTAGACTAGCTGCGCTGTCTCTTCAAATATTTAGTCATTTTATAGTACGACAAACTAATCTAGTCCGGTGAAAGTACTGTAATAGTAAAACATAGTCATGGAAAATTCATTGGAAGGCGCTAATGAAGTGCTGTAAATTTTTGATTTTCACCGGGTCAGATAATTTTGTCTATCTACAGACTATATCAATCAATTGAATATGTCTTTACCTTACGCAGTCTTATGGAAACTATCGTCTGATCGCGATTAAGAATTGTTACGCAAGTATCAAGAATATTCGGGTGTAGTGCACTTTTTAAACGCCATTTTATTTTTTAAATAGCATCTGATCGATAAAGTTTTATAATACTAAAAGACCATACGATAGAAAAATAATATTTTAAATTAAATGTAATATTTTTTAGTTAATATTACGAATGTTATTCGAATAATTTATTTCGAAAAATTTGTTATTTTAATCGGAAATGATATTAATTTAAAATCTCAATTAACTAAAAAAAGTGTAGCGTTTATTCCTATAATATTTTTAGTATTAAGAGGATTTAATCTTGCCCGAATTTATATTACGAAACAAAGCTCTCTGTAGTATCGTTTAGCATTCCTACGAACATAATAAAAAACAAAAATTAATGTTCCCGAATAAAAATTCATATATAGATTATGTATAATATAGAAGAGCCAAAATATATTTATGACCTTGGCTTTTATATCAAATATTTATATATCTTCATATCGGCTTTTAAAGTTTTAAAATTTCAAATAGAAAAAAAGACAGCAATAAATGCAATATAGCTTGTAAGTAATATAAAACTTTTATTATAGTAGATTAAGCATAAAAATGCATTTTAATTATCTTAAAAAGTACGCAAATTAAACGCTAGAAGGCCGCCTTTCTAAATAAAATTATGTAGCATATTTAATCCGTAAGTTCGTATTCGTAAAAATTCTTCAATATTTTGAATAATAATAAATTTTTTAATCTATGATTCATGGTATTGTCTATGGTACAAAAATAGTTTATGCTAGAATATAGAAAACTGACCACTATGCCTACTATTTAATACACAATTTTTGTAGTTTACATAGATTATAAAATTTAAATATAAAAAAGGTGAAGGAGTTTTTTGTGATATATCTATAGCTTAAAAGATCGAATCTTCAGCTTCAATTTAAAGATTAGTAGAGTTTAATTATGTATATTATATTTTAAACGCACAAGACTGGACTTAAAAACACGAACATTAATTATTTTGAACAAATATCGAAAAATAATAGGTATTTAAACAATACAATATTTATTGGTAATGTTTAAATTACAGGTCAAAGAGCGATATTCAAAAAAAAATTTTTTTTTTGGATTTTTTTTTTACTGTTAAATATTTTTCACTGAAAAATTTCTTCATACGTATACAGAGCCCTCTCGATAAACACTGATTTCAATCTGTCATCTATTATATTGAGGAAAAAATATTAAAAATATTTTTTTCTAATTGCATTTATTTCTCAGAAAATAAAAAAAATTACATTTAATTTTTTTTTAATTACAACGGATTATTTGATTTTTTTCTAATTGTATTTTTTTCTCAGAAAATTAAAAAATTACATTTAATTTTTTTTTAATTACAACGGATTATTTGATTTTTTTCTAATTGTATTTTTTTCTCAGAAAATTAAAAAATTATATTTAATTTTTTTTTAATTACAACGGATTATTTGATTTTTTTCTAATTGTATTTTTTTCTCAGAAAATTAAAAAATTACATTTAATTTTTTTTTAATTACAACGGATTATTTGATTTTTTTCTAATTGTATTTTTTTCTCAGAAAATTAAAAAATTACATTTAATTTTTTTTTAATTACAACGGATTATTTGATTTTTTTCTAATTGTATTTTTTTCTCAGAAAATTAAAAAATTACATTTAATTTTTTTTTAATTACAACGGATTATTCTTTCTTTTTTTTGACAGTTTGTCGACTAAAATAATAGGGTCCAATAACGTGCCCAAATCTAATCTTTAAAAGCAATAAATATAGTAATACCAAATATATACTAATCTTATATAACGCATTAAACCAAAGTAAAATGATTTTTAGTGATTTACTCTTTTAATAAAAAAAGGTTACCTATAATTTTTTTTCACTTTGACATGTTACATGTATTTTTTCTGAAACTTTTAACTCATTATGCCAAAATAATAAAAACATTAAGAAAAGTACCAATAAAATAGTGCCAAGGATTTCATCACAATTAAAGTACAATAAAAATTAATGTAGTTTTTCATAAAAAAAAAAATAAAAAAATTGAATTATTTCGAAAAAAATATTATAAAATGCTTTAAATCTGGCGTTATCGGTGCTATGCAATTGTATGTCTACTTCTATGTGATATTCTTAAATTTTAAGCACATACCAAAAAATAAAAAATAAAAAAATGTTTTATCTAGAAGTTTCCAGACTTTATAAAAATACCGTTATTAATTTTAAAAGTAATATAGTTTAAAGTTGTTTAATAGAGATAAGATTTTTTCATAGTTTTTAAGTACAAATACAATTTGGTTAAAATATCGTTTCCGATAATGATTGAGGTTAGAATTTTGAAACGTAGTCGTAGCTTTGTGAGTGAAAAGTTAAAATTAGTTTTTTTTTTTATTAACAGCGTCTTATTTTATTCGTATTAAAATGTATATTTTATTGTGGACCAATTGGAATTACTAAAAGTCAATTAAACGAGTAGGATCTAGATGCCATAATCGCACGTCAAGAATTAAAGCTGATTTTCAATTACATTTTTTTAAAGAAAAATAATAGAAAATCCAAAGTTTTAAATGGATTTTATTGTATCGCTAACTGTGGACAACGGTCGATTCGCTATTTTGGCGAATTTATGTTACCACGTGCTCGTTTGCCTTGCCACCTTATAATATAAAAAAGCCGAATGAGTGAAACTTTGTAACATAAGAAAGGTGGCCAAATATGGGGGATATAATTATAATTATTAATTATTTTCTAGGTTCTCTTAAAGTATAAAATTTAAGACTCAAATAAAGCTTGATAAATTTAGATCGGGATTAATAAATACATGTTCATTATTATATTCAAGTAAAAATAAGCTTGGTCTAGAATATTTACAAAAATATTTAGGGTTAGAATTTTTAATAATATTTAGGGATTTTATTAACTTGTAGGAGAAGCTTTAGCGCTTTTTAGTATACGATATAATCTTGCCAACATCGCTTCTTGATAGTCTTTATAGTTATTTTGATATTTTTTTTTTAATTTTTTTCTTTTTTTTTTGGAAAATATTCGATAAAAAAAATCGGTATAAAAATACGTAACGGGTAAAATGTTTTTGTAGTTTTAAATCGTTTTTTAGATATTTTTTCTAAAATGTTGCCATGTCTAAAAATTGCACGCGATTTTCGCGTAAATATAGGATTATTAAACTTACTGTAATATGTATGTAAACTTTCTACAAAACAATAATGCATACATTCTTATGATTCTAGGACCACAGTTTTACATGGATAACTTTATAATTAAATAAAATATAGCTTTTAGAATAATAAAATTTGTAAAAAAAATCTTGCAAAATCTTAGAAAAATCGTTGTACAAAAGAGGCGGTATATTTATATTTTTTACCATCACATTTTTTTTTCTATTGCCTTAACAAGCATGAGGGATAAAGACTCGTTAACTTTATTATTTTATATAACCACACATTTTTTTATTACTTACTAATTTATTCACCTAACAAATTATGAATATTTTACTAAATATAAAACCTATTAACCGCATTTTCCATAGTTAAAGTCTATTGCTATGTCAAATTTAAGCTAAAATTAATATTTTTAATTTTGGTTTAAAATTACGACTAGATGGTAATTAGTATCTGCAGAAGACTTAAGATGCCACAGATAACATCAATTTATTTAATCTGTTGCATTAAGAATTAACACTCGCTTTTAATGTGTATTTTACAAAAAAAATATTTTACAGTCTTATTAAATTATAAAGATCTATCAGGACTGAATTGCAAAGACTATTGAATGTCAGAGTGTAAACTATATTTATTAAAATTCAAAATCATTTTTTTTCTACATTTTTTGCAGTAAAAGCCATCTCTGGCAACCTAAATACACTGTGCCAAAGTTTCATCACAATCTATCCAGTGGTTTAGAAACGCATAGGGAACAAACATAAAACAATAATATAATACTTTTAGACAATATTAGTTAGTATCCTTTGGCGTGAATGGCGCGTTTACGTTACCAATTCGCGTGTTAGAATGATTAGTGAGGGGACATAAACGTCGATATTTTTGCAAGGCTAGTGTTGCGCCAGTACACCGGCACAGTGACGGATATTCTTCCTAACAATACATACATTAAAAGCGAGTATTTAGCCATTTTTATCTGTCCGCATGCTCTTCCCGAAGATAACCTATATTTGATCATTTTTATTCATTCGGATTTTTTTCTTCTTTCCCTTCTATCGCACTCGCTTGGAACGCACGCTTGGACTGCGGCCACACTAACACATACATACACGGTGACGGTACGTATTTACATATATAGAGTACGAGGAAGAACAAGATATTATAGAACTTGTGCCTAATATTATATTGAATCCCGGTTTCATGGAAACCGACCCTGTACGTCCCCGGGAAAGCTACGCGGCCTCCATCATCAAGTCCACGGAATGCCCCGGCCCGGGCAAACCTAGGCGTGTCTGATTTTCGTCTATACTTAACCTTAGAATATTCTATCTATCCGATCCAGGGTTTTTGTCATGATCGTAAATACACAGAAGGATGGTGCTGGCTATCGCAGTTAAGATAAAAATAGTTCAATTAAAAAAAAATTAACTTGCACAGATAAAAAATGTATTGCTTTCAAGCGCCTGTCAAAAAATAATACTTATAAAATGCATAGCAAATAATTGAGTCATAAAAATAAAAGCAGCTTTGTTTTAAAATTGCGCAGAAGTAAAATAAAGGTTTGACAGTTTATAAACTTTTGGCCCAAGGGTAAAGCAGGACATATCAAAAAAGGTACGTAAGGACTATTTTTACATAAGCATTGGAGGATAGAATATTCTTTTAGGTTTTAATATAAGGAAACACGACCGCGTGTTCAATTGTACGCCAAATTATGCTTCTCAGAATGTATCCGTTATATTTTTTATCTGTTATTATATGCCGGATTCTTTATAAGTAATTTTTTATACTAGGTATATTTAATTTTAATTCATAGCTTATTTCGGTGACAACACTGAATTTTAATATACATTTTGAGAAAATAATTTGGTAAAAAAAACAATTACTATTAAAAACAATGAGAGAAATTACTTTTAGATAATTAAGCATTCCATTTTGTAGTGTTGAGGTTGGTACTTTATCCATTCCTGGTAAGTTAGAAATAATTAGTTTTGTTTTGTTTTGTTGGTATGAAATTTATAAATACGGCTTTTTTCATATGGCAACCTCAATGCGTCTGTATGTGACTCATCGTTGATGACAAATGTAAATGTTGCTAGCTATTGTAATATGTAGATTAATTGCGTATTTTTTGCAATATTATATTTTTATATAAAAGATCTCAAATAATTTAAGATACTCGTGTATGAATGCACTTATTTCTTTGAATTGTTGCGTAATGTGTGATTCTGATAAGTTGATAATGAGACTTATGAAAAGTTTATCATCGAGAGACTGTTGCGAATGTGTTAATAGATTAACCAATTATTAGTACAATTGAAGCTTGTTAAAGCGTTTGGATACGTAACAAGCTGTTTGTCAGCTAACACTGCTTTTACTAAAAATAGATCAGAGGACAATATGGTAGTGAATTTATACGATTGTTGTTAATGTTCTCAACACTAAAGGCAATGATGCAAGTTGGCAAATAGTACAATCGGAGAAATTTGCGGTGCTTACAGATTATTTAAAATAAATAATTTGCGCATTTAATTCGAAGGGCAACGAAAATTATTGTATTATACAATGTTTTAATTTTGTAAACATTGTTATTTTCATAGAGTGAAATATATTTTTTTAACTTTGTTATAAAGAAAAATTTAAGCACCGCAAATCATTTCGACGATACAAAGGTAGATTATATAAAGTGTAAATAATAATAACAGAATTGTTTAATATAGTGTTGTTATCGATGTACATTCCTTTATTTTTGTATACAAAGTGTTTGCATATCACGAAAGCCTTAATTAATAGTATGTTGTTATATGAAAATCTTACTTCATTCTTTTTTCCTTTCCTATCTTTGAACTTGTACGATCCATTTTAAGATAACATACAAATAAAGAAATTTATATCGTTCTTTCATTTGACAAAACTGGGATAATAATATGTCTTATGTTGTTTTGGGGTTTCCACAGTGGGAACAACGGTTAAAATGTGTTCGTGCAAATTCATACCTAACCTTCTGCTCATTGCCTTCCTGTGTCACTACCTCCCTCTCTCTCTCACTCTCTCTTTTTTAATGCTATTTATGACATTATAATCCTACCAATTACCCCTAAATCTTTAAACTATTTTCAATGAAACTTTAAAACTCTTTATCTTTTTTATTTTTTTTTCTTTTAAAACAAATATTTAAACAAAATTGTTTATACTTGCCTAGAATGTCTCGTCCGAACTACGCTTTGCTTGTTCGCAAGATGTCTTCTAAATCATTGTGTGCAATTAACTGTCCGTCTCACTTATAAATGTAATGTGCTATTGTGTCAATTACGTGTATGTATGTGTGTATGTTGCGTTGTCTTTGTGTGCGTGCTTGTTTAGCTCGATTGTCTATGGTATAAGTACCGCAGAGCATTTTAATGATTATATAAAATGCATGTTGGTTTGTGTTGTGTGCTTTTATTTGTTTTATTATCATATCTTGATGATTTGTTTTATCTTTTTTTTTTAATTATAATATATTTATTTTTCTAAGCATGTTTTAAATTTTAATATCACTAAGCTTGCTCTGTTGGCTAAACTAAAAGATATTCTTCCACAATCGTATACTCACTCATCACAAATTACATCATAGTAGATAATAAGCCATTTATTTTTGTAAGATGTAATTGTTGAAAATTTCAATCGTAGAGTTAGGTCGTTTGTACTAGATATTGTTGATGGATATATGCTGGCAACACTGCTATTAACTTTACGAACTGTATTGGCGCTAGATTAGCGCAAATAAAACTACTAAATTATATAAGAATTTCTAATTTGAGTAAATCATCTACATTCGATTAATTTTACATTTGTGTTTCAGTTTATAAACGTAAAAGTTTTTTGTATATATATTTTAACTTGTTGATAAATAAATAAAAGCATTAATTATGTATCCGGCAGTTCTGTGCCTTTTTTAAAGGCAAGATGTTCAAGGTTGTGCTGCCATATCTTAATACTTAAATAATAATAATGTTTTACACGTATTTCTTTACTTTAACAGTTTAAAGTCAAGAAATACTTGTGCATAGTTATGCACCATAGATATAATATGCATGCAAATAGGCTAGACTAAAACAATGCATGAACATTTTATACAATTTTATGCATGTTACAGTAATATAGTTGTAATATTTAATGCTTTTTATTGCTTATACATTTTTAAAACTACCCAAAAGTGTTCCGACATAACTGTAATTGTGTGATTTTTTAAACTAAATACATAATTACATTTTAAGGTTACTTGGATAAAATGTTACTAGTTGGTAGACAGATCGCCTTGTTAACTTTGTTAGCTATTAATCTGACCATAGATATGAAAATATGTACCGTGGAGCTTGCTGGCTGTATGTCACTGTATTGTAAGCCTTGAACAATACAGATAGAAAAATGTAACAATAGTATATATTCTACACTATAAAATGTTAAAGGTACATTGTATATTATATAATTTGCAGATGTTTCTTTAATTTGATTTAAGCATATTTTTTAGAAAGGATAGAGTTAAAGTTTGTAACAGACGCAAGGCATTTGCCTTTTCTGTAACTAGAACACCGCGAACGAACGCGACTGTACATTTGTGTTGAACAGTTTTTCATTAACATGTAAGTTGCTATTTGATATATATAATAGTGTTGGGAAATTAGATGAAACTACGACTGGTAATACCGCCTCTTTTGTCACGAATAAAACATTAATTTTGCATTGAATTTATAAACTTTTTTATGATTATTTATTTTCATCATCATCGATTACTGTTATCTTTATCCCAGTGTCTTTAAGAGATTTCTGTTCCAATGTATGTTGTCCTAGAGATTTTTTTTATTACTACAAAATGTAAAAGAATTTGAACAAACTTAACATATGAAGGGTTTTCGCTACAGACTTCAAGCCAGTTCCATTGTTGATCTGTTCTGTATTTTATTAGTTTATTAAAATGTCTCGCGAAAGTTTAATTAAATAATCATCTCATTAAGTTCAAATAAGTCGAACAAAACCAAGCTGCAGGCTTTGCTGGCTTGCAAACATGAATATGTTTTGATATTATTCCATTATATGTGATTTCCTGTGAGGCAGCTCTTTCCCTCTCCTAACTGGATATACTTTATATTAAAAATATTTATTATTAGGTTAAGATCGCCTTTCAAAAGCACGTCCAAGTTATAGGGCAGCGAATATTTAAGATTAATTTGTCAGCGTATCTCTTATAGTCAAGTAAAATATGTTACCAAGATATTAATCGGCAATATTTTTCTATTTTATAAGTAAATTATAGTTTTTAAAATACGATCAATGCAGAAAGATGACGTCATTGTATAAGGAAAATAGAAAATAATCGTTCATATTCTACCATAAAGCATAGAGCAATAGTAAAGTTCGATTATTCATAATTCCATTGTCAAAAAATCTGATGATTCAAATAAAAAAGTTAAAGGTTATCTATGATTAAGTGATTTCGTCTCTCTGCATTTGCTGGTTATCATAATATAAGCGTATCAAAAGACATGTTTTGTAGACAACACTGGACGCTTTAAATGTATTTGTTCAATAAATGTATTACTATAAAAAATGTGATTATGACTTCATTAACGTAAAAATATTGAATTTAAATTATTTTCAAGTTATCTATGCTAATATGTTTCAATATTATCTTTTAAGTTAGCATCGACAATATTTTGTTTTCTAATATATGTTTCGCGCCAAATACCATTTTGTCAGTGTCAAAATTTTGACAACCGCGCACAAACCAGATTACACACGCCAAGGTAGATTTCAATAATATTTGAAATGTTATTTAGAATTTTAATTTACAGTAAATTACTTTTAAAATCCAACGATGTAATCGTTATAGGCAATCGAATAAGTAATTGGGCGTTTTCATATTTTCTAAGACTCGTATAATTTAAGTTTTGTTTATATTTCCAAAAAATTATGTGCAATAAAATATATATGTTTTATATTCTTAGCTTTATGTTATTGTGAAATCCTTTTTTGACTTAATAAGATGTCAAGGCTTCCAAAGTTCATAACTATTATTAGCCGACTTCAAAAAGAATGCATCTGTATTTTTTTTTCAATAAATTGTATTGTGATTCACGCTCAGAGTACAATAGACATACAACTGTTGTGATGTTAAAAATCGTTCCCATTAAAATACATTTTACACGAATTTTGTCTTTTATTTGAATACAACAGGTACCTACGAAATGAACTGGATTTACATTTAGACTTAGCCACTTACTATCGAGTTGGTTTGATGTCAAGCACTGGTTTATTAAATGATAAAAAAAATTATAAATATTGTCATAAAGACTGCAAACCTATTTTTAGGATCCAAGTGATGATATTATGGCGTAGACCTAGTAGAATCGGAATCCTGGAAGCAGAGAAAGCATTGGTTAAAAAAAAACGATATAAATAAATAAAAATAGATCAATACAGGTCAGAATGGCAACATTAAAATTAGGTGTAAAAGATGTTGTACCAACATAATAAAAAAACAAAACTTTTGTTCTTTATCTAGAAAAAACTGACTTTAATATCTATGTCCTGTAAAGCCTCTTCAAGAGCGAGCAAGCTCGGATCATCTGGGGAGAACATGCGGCATTCCTCATCGAAAAACCTTTCCATCTTCAGACGTAATTCCTCGGCGTGCAGGCGCTGTTCTGAACTCCTCACCTCCTCGGACAACTCGGAGGATGACCTGAAACTAAATTTTATTCTAGTTATAGCTAAGCAGTTAAATTTCGAAAAAAACACAAATAGCAGGAAGGACAAGTTACCTCTTTATTGAAGTAAGGTAATCCCTTGGAAAGGATTCGAGAACGGCTTTCATCTGGATCCACGGATCACTAAAGCTTCGGTTCTTGTACTGGTGAAAGTATTAACATTTTATTTTTATCTCGATTCAAAAGATACAAACAAAATATTAATATGGCAAAATAACACGGCACATTACAGCTATATTGATCTTATGAATTGTTCATACCCGAACAGTTTTGTAACAGGTTATTGCCACCGACTTGTCTTAAAAAATCCTATGTTGAATAAACGTGTCACCTTTTTCTATGATATTATTTGTCTTTTTTCTTACTTATTTAAAAATATACTTACTCTACGATATCTCTCGTAATCGATCTCGGAGTCGGTCATAGCTCGTGATAGAGCGAGACTAGAGTCCGTACTGAGAGTCTTCGCGTCGTAGTCTTCGAGACCAGCGGAGATCAAACTCTCACTGGTCTCCGGCGAGTCTTCCCGCTCCGTCCAGACGTTAGGCGCCGCGACGAGGTCGTCAGGTAAGTCCAGCTCGTTGACCATCTCCGAACGACTCTTTGGGATCGAAGCCAGGAATGTTTCGAACATTTTGTCTTCTCTCCTACCGCTTTTTGTTACCTATTACATCAAAGTTTGTGTATTCTTGATTTTTTATTATTCTGCAATTTATATTACGAAGTTCTTAAAAATTGGCTCACAGATTCCTTAGTTCACTTCGAAAATATTAATGTTATCAATAAATAAACTGATGAATGAATTTATTTATCTTTTAAATCCCGTTGCACCGTGGTTAAGGTCACGTATCAACTACAAACAAAGTGTGTCGCTGCCGAATCAGTAAGACTAGTTCCAAGTGCCCGCTGTTTGATCGATAGACTACGTGTTCGTAGACACGCAAACACTTAACATGGGCTAGACAAATTGATCTGCTTCGACCATTTCTAATACACCTTTTGTTTTTTTTTATTTATTTGTCATTGCCTTGAGTGCCGGGGCACGGAGCATTATAAATGTAGCAGTACATAATTTATTCTTACTAATAAATCTATAAATATCTCGGAGAACCCATATATAACTATAATCTATTTAGTGGCTTCGTTCATGCATTACTATGGCATTATGCGTTCATATGTAATTGCGCTGTTAATTTTATTTTGTACAAAACTCTCTCTACTTATCTTTATCGTAAATTATACACAGAATGTCCTAACAATTTAATGATATAAGATCAAGACGGAAAATTGACATGTTCGGACACAAACAACCATTTAGAAAATATGGAGACTGGACAAATATGATTGGGCAATTCTACAATTCAGTATTCGTTACCAGATAACATCAGACGAGTCTTGCTTGATTTTACATTTATCTGGTGCTATCTACTTCAAAATTCGGTTCACACTGGACACGGAGGCGTAATTCTCTTTTGACAAATCACACGTTAACATGCTGTATACAGGATGTTAAAATTACAAGTAAACAAGGATGCAGCGAAAAGGATTTGGAGACACGTCGCCCACTCCGCGGATACACGCGAGTGACCTCAAGTAACCAGTATCTTATGATGTTCTCATGTAATTTGTAATCGTTTCGTTGTTCATTCAATGCATGACATCAGACAATCGTAGGCTGTAACATTCGTAAACACAAAAATAACCTCATCATTTCCTTTACAACCCTGTGCATAGAAAACGTAACCCTACACAGAAAAGTCGGCTTGTTTGTCTTAGTTTTCATCCTTTCTCATTTAGTGGAATGAAAACTATGACTCTTTAGTCGGCTGAAGTTTTCAGATTAAATTAACGATGCTACGTCATGATTTTCTAGACATGCCAGTAAAGTTTATAGTCAGGCTCTAACTGGTAAATGTCAACCTGGATGTACTGGAAGGCATAACTTAAATACTATTTCTAATCAAGTTAGATTACTGGATTATACTTTGTGTTAGTTACATAGTGTATCAATATGCATTACCTACGTTTTTACAGTAAACGGTTACTAAATTGGTTACGTCAAATCTGTCACAACATGTTAATTATTTGACCAAACGGAACACCTTTAACACGTGAGGTGACGTCAAAATAAATATAAGAATAAGTTCAGTACTTTTATGCAGGACGAAAGGAAACGAGACGGACGAGAGTTAGACCACATACTCAGTATGCATTATACGGAAAGACGAAAAGAATGGCGTTGTAAAGTATGACGTAAATTATCTCAGATATAATGGCAAGATGCCCGAAATCAGAATAGTATCGTTAATAACGTCCGATGTGCTGGACGTCTGGCGTGTGTTCTCGGATATGTGTGCACATTAGCACCCTATCACTAGTGTTTATAAGTTCATATTAATACAGTGTCGGCGATTGTGCCGTGGTGCTGAGTATCCCGCGAACTGAAGAGTAGTTGTAAAAGAGAGACAGAAATATTATAGCTGTCTGTTTCAACTGTCAAGTTATTCCGTAAATTTCCTCGAAATCAGCTGATAGCGATTGTGTCGGCAGCCGCGGCTTTAGCTCGCAAGCTAACAACGCTGGTCGCTACCGCTAGCGCTAGTAGCTTGCGCGGTCCTTTACCATCGCTAGTTCGTGTTTTGCGTCAGTCATGATCCGGTAGCGCGCGCAGATGGATATCGCGAGCACAAACGGTCCGTCGCTGCGACTCCGCGGCGGCGTCAACAATCACAGTGATAGTAAAAAACATGAGTTGAATCTGTGCACGAGTGTAATGTCGGCGGAGACAAAGCGTCTCCTGCCGCCCACTACGGAAACTATCATGACGAAGCCGTTCCCTATAAGAGGTAAATTAAATAAATATTTTAGTGTCTACTAAAAATACGCCGTCGCGCCGGCACCCGGCACGGACAGACTGCTTCCCATCCTATCCCATCCCGCCGCGTATTATTGCACATTATTTCCCCCACACGTGTGCAATGACATTTGATGCTTCAAGAAATATTGACTGTTATCGCTCCAATAAGATTTTTCTGCAACATAAGAAACATTTCAATTGATCAACTATTGGTTTGCGTTCGAACACAGATTTGTAAGAAGCATATATTTGATTTGGCGATTTACGAATGTGTGTGTAAAAGAACGTTATAATTACGATTATACAGTAGTATACACATTACCCATTATGTCGAATTCATAGTATGCATATTACACATCGAATCAAATCCTTGGTGACAGTCGATTTAATATACTTAACTTTATGAACTTAAGTGACATCTATTTTTTTTTTATAGGTAAATGCTTTATAATCACGCAAAAATAAATAATGTCAGAAATATGGTGTAACTTGCCTGTACCGTACCAATGCAGGGCGCAAAACAAGGTTTCAATGAAATTCAGCTCTGAATCTAGTCCAGACTCCTTTACAAGACGGCACCATTATTCCCAATGTTATATCTTGTTGCTTTTAATAACTAGAGCATCCTTGTTTATTGTGGCCTTGAAACTATTTTATTTTTATTCCAAATGTGGTACTCAGGATAAAAGGATCGTTAGGTAAACAACACTCTTTGGTGTTGTGTAAAAACAGTTTTAATCAAAATTATTATGAACATAGAAAAAAATATTCTAACTCTAGCAATAAAGTTTGTAAACAAATGAATAAAGCTGACATTTCGGAACTTGTTCGCAAATTCCGTATTATTTACAGAAATATATTTTTTTCTCAACAAATAGATGGCCATAAACAATGTATTTATTTTAATTTTACTTTAGGCAATGTCGTTTGCTTCCAAAGTTTGTTTCAATACTGCGCCATATCTAGTCTATGCTAGTACGACACATAATAAGCATATTGTTAAAAACAATTAACGAAATGAAAGAAGTAACAATGGTATTCAGTATTCAATTATTTCAAACGAGTCTCCGCTTTCATTGTCACTTTGACCTTGACTTGGCGTCACTCGAACTGAAAATAGTAATTTTCTTTGTAATTTTTTGTTCCATATAATGCTATGAATTGGATTACAGTCGATATTGTACAATGAGGCTGTAAGTTTCCACTGGTATTATGTTATATAATAAAAAGATAAAATGAAAATATTAAATAGAATTATTAGAAATAAGGAGAAAAGCACGCACTGTTACAAGAATATATTTACAACTGATGGTTTTAAAAATAAAGAAAAAGGAAGAAAAAACATATAAAGTTCTAAATTCAAAAATATAACAATTATGAATAAAAATATGTAAAAAGTTCCGTATCTGTCGGTAACATGTAACAACATATTTGACACATTAAGGGTAACAAATAAAAAATAATTACATACATTATATAGCACGGGCGTCGCCAGCTGATTATCTAGTCTAGGTCTAGGAGAGGTATAGATATCTTTAATATTATGTAAAGAAGTTTTTATATCTTTTTAACATTTTTCAATTCTCCCTCTCTAGCGACATCAAAGTAACATAATATTATCAATGCACTGCATTTTATCTTAAAATCGATAATCCGTGTTGATAAATTCGGCGAGACTTGGCTAATTGAATAAGTACTAATCCGTTTAGCCTACTGAGCCTTGGTCATATTACGAACTACGATAATTTGTTTAATTTGACTGCATATTATATTATGAATTTCATCTAACTTCTGTTTTAAATCTGTTTCTACTGGAGCAGTTGTCATTGTTAGACTAAATTAAGTCTACGTGCGACTAAAGTTACGCAGCTAGGCGCTTAGTGGAAGTAAACACTATATGCTTAGTAACCCTATATATATATATGATAATGGCGTTGACAATACTTTAACATCTTCTAAACCTTAATTTACAATTGATAGAATTCGGTGCTTTTTAACCCTTTTGGACCAACAAAAGTGATCAGGGAACCAACAATAGGTTTGCAAAAACACAAAAACTGTCTAACTTCTTTCGTAACAAAGCTTAATTCAGGTATACCCATTAACATTCTTGAAAGTAGATTTTTTATCGATATAAATGAGTATTATAAACTAAATATCTACGCACTAGTTTGTTTTGATAACATATTGTAAGAATTGTTTATTGATTAGGAATCTTAATATTTGTATCGATAAATTATATTAATGTAAATAATATTTCTTATCTTTATTTACAAACTGATTACAGTTTGTGTAGTAACGCTTTATGTAAGTTTTACAACGTCACACTAGCACGTGTTGTCCCATCTCTAATAGTCTGTTCAATTCACATTAATCATTTATTTAACTACGTGTTTCTGTTTTATACCCTCTTTCACTTATCGCTCTCTCCAACTATCGCATTCACATTTGATACCTATTACACATTTACACATTTTTTTTTAATTTTATGATCTGGTAACATAGACCTTTAGGTCATATCTAATTTGGAAATTTATACAAAATGTTATACGTATTGCACAGATGATATCAAAAAGCGAATAAAAATCCATTCAGTCCTTTTAAGATAGATGATTAATAAAGAAAAAATCCAAATAAACTGAACCAAAGACAATAATAAATCTATGCGAATTATTATAGTGTTAGGTTAAAAACTGTCTCTCAAATTTGCTAACCACCTCCGGCTTGCGGACGACGCTCCACATTCCTTTAGTCTGTGGTCTGCGCGGGTTGGATCGATTGTGCGAAAAGGAACGGATATTTTTGTACACACTTTTTAATTTATTCGCATCGCAGCTGGCTGGTTGTTATGCTGATAAAACTAATGCTAGGGTTGTCACGTTTTCAACTAAAATAGAAAAAATGTACAAGTCTAATTTTTTTCTATTTTAGTGCAAGATATATTTTTTTCGGAGCGTCTACTTGTTAACTATATTGTTACTAAATTATAAGAATTTTAAAGAAAGATTTGAATTCTCAATTGAATGCCAACATTTAGATATGAGAACTGTCGATTTAGATTCCTTACATTTATAACTGACCTACGTCGTGCAGCAATCGCGATAATGATGACTTACGGTAAAGACTGAGTGCGAACAAGTTGAAAACCGGTATATCGACCACTTGTATAATATGGAATGGCATTCAATCATGTATAAGTTTCACTTCATCTGGTTCACGGACATTAAGATCATTTTCCCAAATGAGGACTGATATCGTTCAGTTTTATAAAAGTTATTGACAGATATTAACTCATACATATTTTTCAATATAACTAATTTGGTAAAACAACGCAATCTAAATAGTATTTTCTTTGATTAGTTAAAAAAAGCTTTTAGTTTCTTTTGTAGATCCAATACGAATAAAATGAGTGAGAAATAAATATTACTCTAGTTTTTAAAGTATTTTAGCGTTCAAACAATACCCCCCGGTTTTTTTTGTAATGCATCATTACACGCATTACTCTAAGAAATCAAAATTTTATTTCCAAATGTTTTATTTCTATCCGATATGGAAATACAAGAAATTACATGCCGATGACAACCCTGTGTGTCACGAACGGAGCGCGTGCGACGCGTCGTCGGAGCTGGCAGCGCGACGCGGAGATAACCGCACGGCGATGCGCTTTGCTGGACATCTGTCATGTCATTATTGATATTTTACATACATTTGCTACAACTGTTTATAATACTAACTGTTGCCCGCAGCTCCGTCCGCGCGGATTAAAACAAATCTTAATATGTAGCCTGTGCGTTCTTCCAGACTATTTTTTACATCTATGGAAAATTTCAGCGAGATCCGTTTAGTCCTTATGGACCTTTTAACAACCATCCATTTCCAAAATCTTTGTACTCAGAATATTAGTAAGATTAGCGATAAATCAATTAAAATGGACTACATTTCCATAAAGTCGTCAAGTTTCAAACCCGCCGGTGATCCTTCTTCAGGGTGTATGATTACTCGATTGGATTCGCGAGCGCGTCACGTCTCGAGCTGTAGTATAATGCAATAAAAAAATGTATATTGTAAATCGTATATAACCTTTTTAAAAGTGAACATGCATTATGTTTCAAGGTCGTTGTGACACTAATTTATCCTTTTTTAACCTTTGCGCTATCTGGCAACACTGGCTGCCGATTCAGTAGCGTTAACATTAGCGGTATTGTTTGCAATACAAGATATGTAGTTTATCGAATATGTCGCTTACTGTAACAAATAAATAGCTCTACAAGGGATAAGACAATACAGATATGTTTGAATGACATCACGCGAACGCATTACTAAATTTTATCTTAATTTATAACATTGTAGTTGTTAACGCCATAAAAAGATAAAAAAAATATCATTTAAAATTTCCCAAATTAATTATATGCCAATAAAGAACGTCATATTGAAAAAGTCCAGTGATAAAAGGCTTCATAAAATAATCTACGGACAGAATTTAAAATTGATCTGTCCTCGGCGGTATTTCCAAACCGCTACGACTTAGGGTCCTTCAAGAAGCGAGCTTATCACTATCTCAAAGACCGGCAACGCATCTGCGGTTCCTCTGGTATTGCTGATGTCCATGGGCGTCGTTGAACACCTGGGTGTTCCGCTGCTCGTTTGCCCCCTTCTGTTATAAAAAAAAAGATTGTTGTAACTATTGAAACATGTTTTTACACTTTGTCCATCCAAATCAATAAACTGCATATTACGCGAAAAAATCCTAAATTCCAAGATTTTTCTCTTAAAAAACAACGTTGACAGAGCATAATTTTTTAAACCTTGTCATTGTTTACAACATTTTTTACTTCGGATATGGCCTTTACCGAGTTAAAGTGATACTGTGTACTCGGCGTCTAACAAACCGGTTGTAACCGATGAAATCGTCTGGCTGCGAAACCTTGCGAATAAGTCGGAGATATGTTACATGTTGGTGGACATGTTTGGTACATGTGCCCTTGATATTGTGTACATTAGTTGTGGAAAAAATGTAACAGCGATAGAGTTGTCCAGCAGAAGCGGATATAATTATATCGGGGAAGTACCAGGCCATCATAAAATAACCCTAATATAGTTAGTATTTAGAAAAAAAAAGTAATATTATGGTCCGTATTGTTAGTTAATTTTAGGTGAATAATTTATAAACTAAAATTCTGCGCTTTTGCGCAAAAAACTGTAAAGAATTTATTCTCGTTTCACGTCAAAACAAACGTAAAATAAGAACGAACTATGTCTCAAGGTTAGAAAGATAAGGCGATCTATCGCACAATATAAAAAAAGTTACTTCTGACGTAGGCATTTAATTTACAAATACTGAGTCAGAGTTATAACTAGTTCAAACCACTTAATTGATATGAAAAACAATAAACAACAACTAATAGATAAGATTTGCCTCAATTTTAAAATTGTTTAATGCATTGGCAGAAAATTCCATTGCTTTTGCCTTTCAATTAGAAATAATAAAGTTATGATCGAATTATCACATTTGAACGATTAAGGTAAAGAACCGTAAGTTTGATACTAATGTTCTCTTTAACGACACCTATTGTCAACATAATATGATTATTTTTATGACATCTGGAAAATAACTGAGGTAACCATGATGTGAAGGTCGTCAAAGGTAGCAATATAAATATACAAATACATATTAAAATGTGATACAGAACATGTAAGTAATCCGCGTCATAAGTGGCCGAGGCATGTTAAACACGTGATTTTACGACGCGCAAATTAACCTGTAATAAATATTAATAATAATATTGTACACATTACTCGAGACAATTTTTATAATCAGTTTTATATATAACGCATATGTTAACACTGCGTTTAAGGTCTGTCATTACAAATATCGATTAAAACTATAATTAATACAAAAATGATTCATACACGAGGGTATGTAATCTTTGTCAATGCAATTCATTAATTAGGTTAATGAATCAAATTAATTACATGACAAAGAATGTTATTGACTTACTTTATGTTATTAAAGATGACGTGAATCATTCATGTCTAGCTTTGTGTGACTAATTTATTCAAAACGTAGTTATAACTAAGAATTAAAATAATTACTTAATCGCCAAAAGTCAAGAGGCAAACTTTTTTCCAGTATCCGAACGTATTTTGAAAGCATAAACAAAGCACGCTCTATTTCGATAAGCTATAAATAGAGGGCAACACTCGACTTGTGCGTGACGATAAGTAGCCACACACTAGCGCCACACGATTCTAATACAAATGGACCACAACAATGTTTGTTGTAGCAGTTGATTGACCGTACCTATGTTAAGGAAGCCATGAACTTGCTACATATGCCTTGTTAAATACATTCCTAAACCACTACACTGATTTCGATCAGATTAGTTAACATTATTTTGTATTGTTTGACACCATGTAGTCCAGGTGGGTATTTGTGGAGTCTACGTGTGGGGTTACGGTTGCAGGAAATATAATTGAGGGTGTAAAAATATAAGAATAGATAAAGTTTGCAGCAGATGGTACACAAAACCAGTAAAATTTTAAAAGGGGTCTAGGAGAACAAAAAGCGATGTGCATCGCCGATTCAAACTATTGATATTATCAACGTTAAGTAATGTTATATACTCTTGGTTACAACGCTTGCCGGATTTAACTAGTAAATAAATCAAATTGACCTTCCCAATGCGCCGACAATAAATCACTAAACAGCATTCATCGTGTCGCTGTCTGCCAACAGTGCTACGTGAATTAAGATAACTGCACGCAGAACAGACTTTACTAAAAAAAAACTTACAGCTCTGATTTCTATGAGTTTAGCGTCTTTATGAAAAAGATTATATTATATTATATTCAAAGATATGTGTGAAGTCAACCAACCCGCACTCGGCCAGCGTGGTTGACTATGGCCTAATCACCCTTAATTTAGGGTAGGATCCGAGCCCCTCGGTGGGGACGTATAGTGAGCTGATGATGATGATGAAAAAGACACATAAAACTTTATCATTCAAATTAACCTTATCTAACTGGTACTGGTTTAAGGGTACTAATCTACCACAAAGGGACTTTCCCTTGGTGGCCTTTATATAGAATTAAGTGGCAGATATGTATATCAAAAACTGAACAATGAATCATCATGTACATAAGCGATTTCCTTGCCTCGTAATAATCGTTATATTTCAAGTCAGTCGGTAGGTCAAACTGCAGTCCTACAACGTGCCCTGTGAATCATACGATAACAATAAACCTATAACTTCTCTTTAACTTTATTTATGGCACATTAAGAGTGCGTGCAATGATTCATCCATGTTATCTAATTAAAATACAATTCATATCATTGATGCTAAAGCCTAAAGCAATAATTCTTGTGCTAGTTTAAACAATTGCGTCTAAATGCACTTGATATAAGATCACCTCACTAAGTAGAACATCCTTATTCAAATTTACTGACCACCGACTCAGTCTCTATCATAACTTCATTAGCCGCTTGTGTTGCGAATACATAAATATAACCCAAACCTTTCGTCATAAATACAAAAATGCTCTTGTTACGAAAAGATTACACGTTTCTATTACGAATTTGAGACAACCTTAGAACAACAAAACAAATCTCTGGTGCCAAGCTTCGGAATCTTGCGGGCATCAATTGGAATGATCAGGCGATGAATGGGGGGCGGGAGGCGTGGGTACTACGTCATCTCGTATGTCAGTATTGGGCGGAGTTCCCGAGTAGTTGAATGCAAAATACAGTAACATATTTTTACAACATTGTATAGATACAGATTACATTTTTGTTGCAATGTTTTAGATAACTTATGTTAAAGTTATTTATCCTATTATATTTATAACGTTTTATCTAATTGATTTAAATCTACAGTTTAGTATGAGAGGAAGGAAAGCAAGTCAAATATAACCCACAATAAGAACACTATGTTGACAGCATTTAAGGAGATTGAGTCAATTTTGGGTCAATACCATTGACAGCTGTTTTCTGTACTGCCATGGTATTTCACCTTTCGACCCGATTCATTCGTATATACAGCAAATATTCTTGTTGCGGAATCTACCAATGTCAAAATATATTTGTGTCCTTCCTCTGATGATACTCTTGCGACACCACTTGTTGCTATCGATGACTTACTCACAAACGTATAGCCATAAATATTTTATAAATTTTCTAAATTTGGCGAAAGTTTTTTTAAATATCTGTCCATAATGATAAATTAACGTTCATACAAATAAAACAGAAACGTGTCACCTGATTATGGTCACATTATGTTCCACTTATCATGCAAATAATAAAGGTTATCAGAGGTACAAACAGTGCTCTACTATTTGTATCTCATATGTGGATATTTTAAAAATATATTGCAAATTGCAAGTTACTATATTTGTCAAAGTTGTATAAATGTATTGATGAAATAAATTATTAAGAAACAAAAATGAGGGATTTTTAAAGCATACATCCCATTTACAAATTGTGAACCCTTAAAAACTATAAATTACAACTTGTAACAACGAGGACACGTTACGCAGTAAGCGAAGCTTAATTTTAATATAATAAGGAGAAAATATTAACTATTCATTAGGCGCAAATAAAAGTACTAAAACCGTTCAAACTCATTAAAAAAATGTTTTTAAAAGAAATCAGTGGGTCAGCACAAGTTTTTCCGAATAATTTTAATGAAATTTCATAGACAGTTAATCCGCGTATCCGAATTTATTGTCTATGCCTTATAGCTGTCAATGTCAATATTGATTTGATAAATTGATAGTGACACGAATGACAGTCGCGAAATTCTCTTTGCTGAACGAAGTCGTGGAAATTACCGGAGAAGTTAAATTCCATATTTTAACTTATTAAAACCGTACAAAGTTAACCAAAGTTGTGATAGAAGTCATAGTTAACAATGGACTCAGAAGATACTAGGGCGGAGGGCTGGAAATATTTAAATAAGCAGTTTTTCGGAGACGGTCAGTATGATTTCTATGTTCTAATGTTCCGTGGGAGAAAGGCGATTTTATGGCCAATTAAATACGTGCAAGGACGAGTTATAATTTATTCGTTCTATATAATCTTCACTACCAATGTCATATAGTTTTACTGCATGCAAATTTAATTTTAAACTGATTTGGTATCCAAATTTAGAGTATGATGTTTTTTGGATATACTATTAAATTCGTATTTTAACCACCTCAATTTTATAATGTTAAAATAATATATAGATAAAGTTCTAAGTCTAACGTTTATTTGGCAATCATATGAGATTTATACATTTGTTATATTATTGAAAAATAATAAATAGATTAATCCAAAAGTTAAAACAGAATTATCATTTACCATATCAGATAAGGTTAATGTCTAATTTATTATATATCATACATTAGTTTATATCTAATGCTAGTACACCTTGGAGTTTTATATTAAGACAATAGATAAGTAAAGATGAATTTTATATCAGTATGAATATCATAATTATATAAATAGTATAATTAATTAATGAAGACCATTATTTGTCATTAAGACTACAATTTATTGTGTTTTTGTAGAGAAAGTACAGATTATTCACATATCTTTTAATCTAAAACAATTAGATTTCTTTCAATCTCAAATCTGTCTTTGGAGCATTTGCATATGGCAACACTCTGGCAGTGTTTTAAATCATTAAAAGAACCTTATTCACAATAAAAATTCAAACAATATATTTATAGACATAAAATACAAACAAAAAAGTATGTATATTATTATTATATAAGAGATAAATGCAAATGATTCCTAAAGTTTTGTGTTCCTGATTTGTAGAAACATATTTCTTTTATTTAATAGTAAGCTTCATGTGGATATTGTTGTTTTTCAGGTGAACGTGCAAACTATGTAAACATTCCCCATGTGATTGCAATGGTGGGTCTTCCTGCCCGAGGCAAGACGTATATATCAAAGAAACTGTCACGGTACCTGAACTGGATAGGCATTAATACAAGGGGTGAGTTATTTTTCTGTATAAACATATAAGAAAAACACATATTGTCAACAGAATCACATAAACATATATTAAGTGTGGTACAAATGAAATCTTAATAGCTTTTTTCTGTTCAACATACTAACTGCCAAATTCATATCATTATCAAAAAAACTATGGTATCAATGAAGTTGTGGAAGCCTAGTCCCTGCAATTAATAGATAGTTGAACCTGAATAAGCGAGAAATCTCTATAAGCTAGAGACATTATCATGTACCTTCAGACAACCTCCATAAGCGAGAAAATAAGGTTAAAGAGAAACTTCTATAAGTGTGAAAAATATTGCAGTCCCTTGGAGCACTTATCGAGTTTCTACTGTATTATTACAGTGGGCTTCCACTGCTATGACACTTGCATTAAATACATTGTTGTCTTTGTCACTGTCACAGTGAATGAAAGAGACAAGAATATATATTGATAAAAGTATTGGTTAAGTGGTGTTCTGTGTTTATGTAATATATAATAATTAATTTCATTGTAATGTATCAGTACATAAGATGGATTTGCACAAGCCACTGATCTCTGTATGGGGAATGTATAAATATTTTGGCACACAATAACAACTTCCTCTGGCTACTATCCATTGCCAAATGTGCATCTAAACATGTATTCATTAACCCCAGTATACATAACAAAATGTATATATGTATAATTTCGTCACAATAATTCTCATTATTGGCTAAATTAATGTTTATCATGGGGCCTAGCATGAATATTTGTGACAATCTTTTTCATATCATTGTTAATTATGTCAAAATTAGTATGAGATTTTTCGGTGAGCTATACACAAATTTTGCCTACCAAATCTCAATGTATTTTTCGTATCTTTATTAGGCCAAGTCACCAATAACTTCAGGGTAAACTTAGGTCCCTCAGTAGGGACGGGTATAAAACAATTTACAATTGAAACATTATATTTAATGTATTTGGGGAAACTAATTTTGAATTGATTCGCAAGGATTATTTGAGTGTCATAATTAATGACACTCTAAAATAATTCTTATTTTCATCCATATAAAGTCGTTAATCGTTTATAATACTAGTAAGTTGTAAATTTTTGTAGAATATATATGTAGTATATAGAAATTAATATGGAATCTTTTATCTATCAAAGTAAACCTATTGACTTTTAGTGATAAAAATGTACGCAGAAATAATATTGCTATCATATCATGTTTATAATAATGTTTAGTATTACCAAGGTATACTTAATTAGTTGTAGCACTTGGACGTAGTGTGATTTATCATAAATATAAATATTTTATAGGTCAATAATACTATGTCATAGAGTTTGTTTATAAAACAATATAACATTTCAAGTTCATACAAAGCCATCTAATCATACATACATTAATTACTAGTTGTCGCCCTCAACTTCGTCTGCGTGATACTAGAGAAATAAAATATTAGTATGTGTTCTTCCAGACTATGTTCAATTTTCAGTGAGATCTGCTCTTCTGTTCTGTAGATACCTTCTAACAAACATTCATCCATACATCTAAACATTTATAATAATAGTAAGATATAAAGATTGTAGAAGACAATCCACTCAAGTAGTATTTGTGTGCGTGTGTTTGTGTACATGACAATGTACATATGTATGTGTACCCACGTTTATATGTTTTCTTGTCCTTAGTAGAGTATCTATTTTAAATGGCAAAATATGTTATTTGTAGTATTCAACTTGGGTGAATATCGGCGGCATGCGACAACCGCGTACACGAGTCACGAGTTCTTCCGCGCGGACAACAAGGAGGCGATGGCCATCAGACAGCAGTGTGCGCTGGACGCCCTGCACGATGTTTGCGAATGGCTGGTTAAAGGTGGAGAGGTTGCTGTGAGTACAAACACATAGACTGAACTTGAATATATTAATACAATGGGAAAAACTGAATTTAGCATTTCTGAAGGACATTTACAGCCGAATGATTTGAATAATATTAAATGGCCATAAGCAATAAGAATATTCTGGAAAAATCGGCAGTGTTTTGTTAGACAATGGAATGTAGAAATTAAAACACTAACTGTTGATTTCTGAAATCAAAATCTTTGTATAAATCTTATCATCATCCCTGTCCATATCTTTGACAAAACAGAGGTATTATATTTTAAGCGGGGATTTTGGCTTTAGAAACCCATGGTAATTGTCTCGTATAGTATTTTTATTGGTCACTCAGATTAGCCCTTATTGTCGATTACTCGTTCTAAATCCGAATGCAATTTATTTAATGGTTCAGTAAAAGACAATAATCCAATCATATGGATTTTAAAGTGTTATGTTTTTTAATAAAAATTTATAGTATATTTTGTCATGTTGTTATTAATATTAATGCGTCTGTCTGTCTGTTAGTTGTTAATAAGAATGTTGTACAGGTGTTTGACGCAACCAATTCGACGATGGAGCGGCGGCGGATGATCCGCGACATCGTGGTACACAAGATGGGCTTCAAGTTGTTCTTTGTGGAGTCAATATGTGACGACCCGAGGATCATTGAACAGAATATTATGGTATGTATCAATTTACATTGACGATGAGTTTCCACTTTTTTTACACATGGAGTTAGCATTATGAAAAAGATATATATACGTCCTTTTTCAGTTGTTAAAAGCCTACTCTAAGTTAGGGGTGGTTAGGCCATAAACAAGCTGGCCCAGTGCGGGTTGACTTCACACATATCTTTAAATTTCTTCTCAGATATGTTCAAGTTGCATCATGATGTTTTCCTTCACTCTTCGAACGTCGTATATGTTCATATGTAAATCGATAAACACATGGATATGTGTCGGGATTAGAATCCAGGACCTCCAGATTACATATCAAGTGCTTAACTACGACACTGAATAAAACCACACAGGTATTATTTTTAGTATTAATTATTATTGTATTTGTTATTTCTTTATTCCAGGAAGTTAAAGTTAGCAGTCCGGACTACACAAACATACAGAACATGGACAATGTTCTTAATGACTTTTTACTCCGGATAGAGCATTACAAGGAGAAGTATGAGCCACTAGACGAGACGCTGGAGGAGGAGTGCAGTTTTATGAAGATATACGATACTGGAGAGAAGGTGGTTGTGCACAAACATGAGGGACATATACAAAGTCGCATTGTATACTATCTCATGAATATACATATTGTGCCTAGGACTATATATTTGACGAGGGTGAGTGTGTGTTATATATTAATTAGAAATTACCGAATATCATCATCATCAGCTCACTATACGTCCCCACCGAGGGGCTCGGAGCCTACCCTAAGTTGAGGGTGATTAGGCCATAGTCAACCACGCTGGCCAAGTGCGGGTTGGTTGACTTCACACGTATCTTTGAATTTCTACTCAGATATGTGCAGGTTGCATCACGATGTGTTCCTTCGCCGTAAGAACTTGGATAAATGTACATAAGTAAATCGGAAATCGAAAAACACATTGGTACATGGCGGGATTCGAACCCAGGACCTGCAGATTGCAAGTCAAGAGCTTGACCACTGAGCCACTGACGCTTACCGAATATACAGACTTTATATTTTTTTTTTTATTAAACACTAACAATCCAACACAGGGATTCCTAAACTATTTTCTCAAAGACCTTTCATAACTTCGGTTAACTCCTAGTCTACTTTCTTCTACTTCTTTTCAACTTTATTTCCCGCTGTCTTTAACACTCACTTGGTTTTCCATCAACCTAAATTTGGAAATCACTGCTCAAGCACAAACTTTGTTTGGGACGGTTAAAAGAAATATTCGTTTTTTTTATTGTAGAAATAATGATTAACAAAAATTGTAATATATTCCAGCACGGTGAGAGCATGCACAACCTGGTGGGTCGTATCGGCGGCGACAGCGAGCTGTCAGCGCGCGGGCGGCAGTACGCGAGCTCGCTGGCCACCTACATCGAGCAGCAGCAGATCCCCGGCCTAAGAGTCTGGACATCCTGGATGCGCCGCGCCATACAGACTGTCAACGACGTGCGCGCGCCGCAGGAGAGGTGGAAGGCACTCAACGAAATTGATGCTGTAAGTTCAATACAGTTATATGGTCTAATTGACCATATACGAATGGAATTGACCGTTTGGAATTTCCTTGTAACAAACACATGTAAACTTTTTAATTTATAATTTGAAGTAATAAATAAGATTGCAAAGAGTTTATTTGAATACACTTGAACCAGGGCATCTGCGAGGAGATGACGTACGCAGAGATCCAGGAGAAGTACCCGTCGGACTTCAACGCGCGCGACGCCAACAAGTTCGCGTACCGGTACCCGCGCGGCGAGAGCTACGAGGACCTGGTGGCTCGCCTCGAGCCCGTCATCATGGAGCTGGAGCGCCAGGGCAACGTGCTCGTCGTCTCCCACCAGGCCGTCATGCGCTGTCTACTCGCATACTTCCTCGATAAGTCCGCAGGTATGATGACCTGACATTCAATTTCAAAAATATCTGTTATAATGTGTCTATCTGACTAAACTTGTAAATGCTAACGTATGAATGGATGTTTCTTAGAAGGTATCTCCAGAACGGCTACATAGATATATAACATAGCCTGAGAGAACTCATAGGCTACTAATTAAGGTTTTTTTAATTCCGCGCAGACGGAATCACGATTTCCAGCTTATATTCGATTTATTTGAATGCATACATACATACAAGCATAAATTTGGTCAAAAGGTTAATAGTTTTGTGACAAGTGAATGATTATCGACGATATAAAGTTTAAGACAGCTTTATAATATTATGTTTGTTTGTTATGTTATAAATCAGAAGAGCTGCCGTACCTGCACGTGCCGCTGCACACAGTGATCAAGCTGACGCCGGTCGCGTACGGGTGTCGCGAGGAGCACGTCGCGCTGCCCGTCGCCGCCGTCGACACGCACCGCCCCAAGCCCGCGGTGAGCACGCCCACACATTTCTTACACCATCGACAATACTATTACATTCCTACATCCTGGATCTTACCAAAATTAATATCGCTAATGTTCATAATAGACCCTCATTACGCTAATTAATTACTTACTTACTCCGCTGGCGCATCGACCCAAAGTGGGTCTTGGGCTCCGACACAAGAGACCGCCAAAGTCGCCTGTCTAATTACAGTATAAATATTTTAGTTTGCTAATTGTAGTTAATAATTACATTAAAGTAATCCATTTTGTTCATAACTTAAAAATTAATAAATGTACACTATATTTCTGTTTTCTGATATAATCATTACTAAATCATATCGATGTTCCTAACAGGATAAAGAAGATGATGCGGCAACTGACAAAACGTAACAGCTTTGTTATTATAACACAAAACTGCTGGCAACATTGTTATAACAATAAAAACAAAACAAATGTCACTAATATAAAAAGTTTAAGAATATAAATCGCCCAAAATAGAGACAAATACCACTTATTTAAAAAAAAAAACTTCTACAATAGCTTAAAATAAAGTTAAGATTTAAATTCTAATTAAATTGGAAATAAACAAGAATTTTTTTTGTTAATTTTTTACATATTTTGACTAAACCTTAAAAAATAAAATTTTATTTAGTTTACTGGTTTTTTAAGTGGTTAGCACAAAAATGTTGCCAGCAGCAAAAAAAATCAATAAAAATTTTCTTTAAAAAAATAGAAGATTTAAATATTTTATTAGCCAAATGAACTCTTCAAGGGTGTTCTCAAAAGTTAAGTTCTTCCTATCTTTTAATGGTGTTTGGGAACTAGTTACTTCGGTGTTGGTTTTTTGTTTTATACAATTTTTTTTATTATTATGGGATATATATTTATTGTTTATATTATGGAATTTTTAAGGAAGTGGGTTGTCACTGTCGAACATGTGAAAAAACATATTATTGTCCCTTATATTTGCTTTGAAAAAATAGAGGTAGCGTGATGTATATCTGTTGCCGCAGTAGAAATTAACTATGTGACGTGGATAACCTTCAAATATTAACCTAAAATCTATTTATTTATTTATTGAATTATCTGAGTTTTGATTTGAAGCTTATTTATTAATAAAAAAAAATAGTATTGAAAACTTATTTAGAATAATACCATTTAACTAATAATATATTTAATAAAAAAATCAAATTTTTTTAGTATATTAATGACTTCAAAATTTTGGTGTGGGTTTTTTTTTTATAAAATACATGTTATCAGGGTTGGAAATTTGTTATATATTTATTCATATACAAAATTACTATATGTTTGTAATGTGTAATGTTTTTGTATACAGTCGAACCTGAAAAAGCTAGCAAGAGACCGTGATATGTTTCTCGTTCTTTTTCGTATCCAGCGTCAACTATATCTGATATTATTTTATATGATTTTTATTTTTATCTTTTTAAATATTATATAAGTAAATTACAAATGATATGTTACAAAATATTATTGAGTCCTTTTTTAACTTTAACGTTTTATTCACATTTTCTATAGTATGATGTTATTGTTTCCCGCAGGTGATCCCCGCCCCGCGCATCAAGCCGCCAGCTCCACTCATCAACGGCGACACAAACGGCGAACAAACCGTCGAAACTCCATCCCATTAACAAACATCGTAGTAAAATAACAAATTAAATCTTATTATATTCAAGTTTAATTTATACACGTCCTAAGTTTGACAAAGATTAATGAAAGCAGTGCATAATCTATGACATCGCGACAAAGATTAAAAGAAGCTATGCATAATCTGTGACATGGCGTGTGCGGAATGGCGGTGAACTTGAGACTGATGTTAGTGAGTTTAGACATCTAAGTCATGTTATCGTGTATTTAAAATGAAAAATGTGTAAAAAATATGAAATCAAATTTCATCTACGTTTTTAGTCCCTTTAATCTCGAAGCAGCGCCGAGTTACATTGGACGGAAGATTTTTTTTTTCGTTCAAAAACAACATCCATTGATAAGTTAATTGAATTCATTATTTAAACAACAATAAAAAATGTTTTTATCCCATATTTTTAATTCTTTATCGAAAAAAAAATTTTCAGCCCATGTTGGTGCCATAAATATATTGTGAAAATGAGTTGTACAAATTGTTTTTTTTTAAACAGTTTCTGTACTTGTATGTACAGTGCGATGTTTTTTTTTAATATTTATAATACAGTGTATTTTAATCTATAGCTTTTACAGAAAATTTTGGTCCTAAACAAATTTCAGTTTAATTTTCAGTCAATGTGACTCGGCGCTCGTATATATTTTTTAGGGTGTCTCGTCTCCATATTTACGTACGACCATTATAAATATTAATGTATTTAACTACTTATATAAGTTTTTACAAAGTGGCTACATATAAAATATTGTAATTGTTAATATAATTTTTTAAATATAAGTGTATTATAAACGGGCTCGATGTGTTTTACTTACAACCAAAATATTTCCTTAACATCCTGTACACTATTGTGACGTTATAGCAAAAAAAGAACAGTTTTTTTCATTTTTTAAGATTTTTTTTTGTTAAAATCTGTGTCAAGCAATTTTTGAAAGATCGTTTATTTGTAACACTAATGAAATATTAATGTTATTTTCGCGTCCACTAATACTGAGTAGACATCCAGAAAATGGATTTTTTTAAATAGTAACATTGAAAAATAGATGTTGTTTCGTTAAGCGACATCTAGTACTAGCGTGTGACACTAAGTGCTAAGCGACCTAGATTCTCAGTTTCCACACCTCAAAGTCGTAGCTAATTTTGGAAAAATCATTTGAAATAAAAGTTACGAAAATACTTCATGGAATAAAGATATAGATTTATAGATTGCTATTTAAAAATTGATTAAAAAATCAGGAAGATTGTAAATCTTGACGATGGCGTAAATCATTAACTATAGATGTCTCCTTTCTTAATTCTTTACTTACGTATTCAATCTCTTAGTCTGGAAATATTGGAAGACTATCCTACTTATTTTACGGTAAATAGCTAGCAAATAACTCTGCAACTGAACTGATATACCAAACAGCTCAGCTAAGACAGGACAGGAGATACGGCAACTGGAATAATAAAAAGATATCTTACAGGTCAACAGTCATTTTCGTGTTTTTTCAAGTGTAAAAACATTTTATTAGAAAGTGAGTCCACGCTTTGTTGCATATCCGAGTGGTCTGACCAAAAATAACGGGCATCGGTCATTGCAATCAATAAAATGTCATCGGCTACCGGCGAAAGCGGGGGAGGGTGCTTCCCGCGCGAAAATCGTTCTCCCTGCACCCTCACGCTAATAGTATTCTATTGAGTGCAGAACGACACATTCTGCCAAAGGTGTGGCATACTGGCCAGAGAACCTTTGCCTTTTTTATTATAAAAAAATATATGTGAATACAATACAGAATCGCGCGGAAATAACTAGATGTGGGCGAAATTAGTGATTGAGAGGATTTTTGTTAATAATAGTTGATACTGCATCCTTTAAATATCAAAGCTATATACCTGTCTGCTAACAAGCAAGTCCTTCAATGATGTACCAACCATTGACACCGACTCCGAAATAATAATCGTACAATATAGACGTATTACAAAGAAAGAAAAAAGTAGAGAACTTTCATACTTTCAACATTACTCATGATATTAATTTGTTACTTTTTAATGCATTTTGTTTGAGAATGTTTTTTTTGTACGTTTTTTCTATTTATATTTAGTACTGAAAACCTGATTGATACTTGCTGTTGTAATGAGTGATTGGGAAAACTGTAGTAAGTTACGCAAAGACGCGGACTACAAAAGATATTTTATACTGTATAAACTAGCGTTTGGCCATGGTCTCACCCGATTTTAGGTGGCGTGTTTTTCAAATATACTTATACTCAAGAGATAATAACTTCTTAACTAGAAGGGTTTTGTATACGGTATTTTTTTTTAATTTGCTGAAGACTGTTGTTTATTAGTCTTTGTTTTAAAAACTTATTAATGTGATTGATGAAATAAGGATCATCCAAGTTCGAACAACAAAAACAGAGACGGTGAATAAAATTGCATTTAGGTGACCTAAATAGGACTAGTAACAAAATAAACGGGTCGATGCCTACATATAGGCACACGAATGACGCCCACTTTATATACCTCGTACATAACGATATAAATAATCGATAGCGCGTACATAGACCCGTCCAGGCCGGTCGCGTCCAATGTCGGTTAGCTCGCAAGGATTATTGAAATGCATGGATATTGATGTAGTCTATTCAACTTACAATTGCTATGGAAACTATAAACTAGAGATAGGAAAGTTTTGGACCGATGCAAAATTGCTTTAAAAAAGCGCAGGATAGAGCCATTGCAAACAAAATAACATAAAAATAGTATATGAATTCATTAATTCTATGTTTATGTAATTGAAAATTCGTTTTATTTACATTTTGTCTTACCTTTAATACGCTTTTTCCAATTAATTAAGTAAATTTATATTTGAATATTAATTTGGAAAAGAAAAAAAGTTATCGATTGGGATATCGATTTATAACCATAGATCATTGACTTATTTAGAATAGTCTATTGATCTCAGCTGTCATTGACATTTGGTGTACTTGTACGAGAATCAGTGTATATTTATCTAGCTAAAGAATGTTGGTTTCAAAATTTTCAAATATAACAATTGCATAATCATTTAAAGTTAAAAATAAGGATATTATAAAAGATATATATTAATAGAATATGTGACAGAATTCTCAAACATACGTGACATCTTATCATTAGTGAATAGTAATTTCACTCAGCCATGGTGTCACCTATAAATCTCCAAGAAAAATATAATAAAGGTATGCAGGTGACTAAAATTATATTCATTAAATTATATATGTTTATTAAATTATTTGTATTGTTTCAGTTAGACAAAGTTTCTGTTTTTATTTGGATATCCAAGATCCAGGGCTATCTCGATCTATATCAAGGAGGTTACAAGACATGGGTTTGGTAAGTTATACTTTTACAATTTAAAAATAATCGTTAAATCATATGAAAAGTACAAAATTATCACAATAAATGTTTAACAAATCTGTGGGTTATAAATAATTTTACGAGCATTATCTACAGTTACCTTGTGTTTGGTTATCCTTTATTTTGTCACATTATTTCAATTTCGTTGTAAGCATTGATTATTTTAAACTATTGTAAATTCTAATGTAATTTATGAAAGCATGCTAAAACCAAAAACTAAAAGTAAAGTGATGTAATATCTAGTATCTGATTCCTTTGTTGTAAATACTCGAGTTGTTTATTTCGAATTAAAATTAAATACAAATTTACATGAACCATTGATGGATAAGATTGACAAAACGGAACGGTTGTGGCTCATCAGCCAATGAAATGCCTTCTCTTTCAACTAGACAACTAGCGCTGCCGGTGAACGAAATGAGAACTAAGCAAATATCTCCATCTTGTGTGACAGATTTGTGTTTGTTGTTGCTTTCACGAATTTATTCGGCAAATGTTGATAAAACACAGTAAACACTATCGTAATTGTCTATTAAATTATTTTCAAGTGCATAACATAATAAGTGATAAAAATATGTTTGTTATGTACAACAATACAACTTAAAATCACCAGTGACGAAGTGGACGTCTCAGTGACTAGTATATAGTTACTTATTTTTGTGATAAGCGGTGCGCGGGGGCCTCGCGGACGGCTTTTGTGTAAGTATATGCCTCATACGATACCCACATAAGAGTACTGACATAATGGTTTTGTCAGAATTGCATAGAAAATAGTTTTAAACTGTACTCTCCTAGTGAGTAGTAAGGCGCGTAGTCAGCGTTTGATTTTAGGTCATCTTTTGTATGCTCGCGTTACAGCCGCCGCCGTAACGCAAAATGCAGCGGCCCGAGGCCGCGCGCCGCGCTCGTACATGCTGCGTTGCACTACATCCATTTAAAAGTCGTTTTAAATGTAGTTTTCTTTAGCTTACCCGTGTGTATGCTTAATTTTTGACAGTTGATATGGCTTTGTAGATGTCAAAGAGTTGTGTTTCTTAAGATTATGCGGTTACGGACTAGTTTTGTGTAAAGATGTTTGGATGTTATTTTTTTGCGCGGGACCGTTGGCGCGCTCGGCGCGATGCTTTGGGCCAGCGTCCGTATTGCCGAGTGTATTTCAAGGAAATCTCGACGTGTATGTGGCGTCGATAATGTAGCGTTCACTCCCGCCTCACGACAAATAATTTCCTAGTATAGATAAACTTGTTGATCTTGTAACTTTGCCGTCGTATATATTGTCTCCGTGTGTTCGTAACAAAAACACTTTAGTTGCAACATGCATTTTACGTTTTTGGGTCAACTTGTTTATATTTTGCTGACTTTCACATTGTACTCACAATTTTAAAGTGACAGCTCTAAAAGTTGCCTCATATATTGTCTAGCCTTTTTAATCAGTGATAACAATTTTAATGCTGACAACACCAGTTTATTAATTTATGTGGGCAATTAATTACAAATAACATTATTGAAATAATTACCATAGTAAACATAAATTAATTAAAGGTCCTTAAAATACTTTTACCAGTATTGATGACTATTGATGTTTATTTAATTAACTAAGATATTTTTCACCTGACATTTTTCAATGTAATAAAAGTTTGCACATTTTAATAAACTGCAAAAGTTATGGTAATCATATATTTAAACATGAGATCTTTTATTAATATTCTGAAAAAAATATATTTCATACAATATGTATGGAGATAAAAGTTAAATCCAAACAGAAAATAAAAGATATTTTCATATGAAAGTATTACAAACTACCTCAATATAATATAGGTATAGTTCTGGAAAGTTATAAAAATTATATAGGCATCTAGTCTAGGTATTTTGCTTCACAGCTTAAACGAGACATTTACAATTTGACTTCTAAAATCATAAAAAGATTTAATTTTACGAATAAACTCAAATTATATAAGTCAGTAGAATTATTATAAGACATATTTAAAACCTTTTTTTGTCGAGTTAGTGCAAAAGTTTTTTTTGTTTTTTTTGGTGGTCATTGTTAGTTGCAAATACATGTCTTTACAGATGGGTGCTAGGTAGACACACTGCGGATGGAAGAATATGTGGGTAGGTTGTACTGCAACCTTAGCCACTTTGTTTTTTTGCTCAATGTTATTTGAAATTCTCATGTTATTTGTTAAAATTATTTTGAATAGCAGTATCAATAATGAATATGTTGTTTCAGCGCGAGGAGGTGTTCCTGACGCCGAGCGTGACGCACGTGGTCGCGTCCCGTGTGGCGCCGAGCGTGCGTAGCGCATCGCGATGCGCGCGACGTGAAGGGCGGGCGCGCGCCGATGCCATGCTCCAACGGCTGCGGCCGGAGCCCCAGCCTGCGCCTCCGCTTACGCACGCCTATGTGCACCTCACCGTACACAAGGTACAATTTAAATAATCTTAACAATTAAGAAAATCAAACTAATAATGAAGAACTAAAAAAATATATTATTAATATTTTTATCATACTAAATTGAATATCTATGCTGCATTAGTTTTTTTAAATATTTCATATTGCTTTTACTAACTTTTTTCATATTTAACTATTTATTAACTTCTAATCTATCCTGTTTACTTATTCTTTTCTTTATTCTTTGTACATTATATATTTTTACAGCATATTTATTAAACTTTCAGGCTATAAGTCTATTGGATAAGCTATATGACACATTCTTCACGGCACCGCGTAAATCGCATGTCAGGCTCTTCAATAAACATTTTATCAAGATTGAGTTTTTGGACAAGTATGGACAAATTTGGATTGTGCAGTATATGATTGTTAATTTTGTGATTCTCAATGATATTTATAATTTCCATTTTAAATTCCAGGCTGTGCAGACCTGTTTTCAAGGAGTTTGATGAATGGCCCCATATATCTTTAGAGCCTGATCCTCCCAAAGAAAAGAAAGAAAAAAAAGACTTAGTAGAAAATCTCACTAATACAATTAAGAATACCCCAGGTCAGAAGTAAGTGCCGCATAAACATGAAATCATTTAAATATTTCATTAATATTCTAATCAGAATGACTTATATTGCAGAATGACTAGAAAAAGCCGACCTCGAATAAAGGATAAGGAGGAAAAGGAACTAAAGGGTGGTTACTGTGAAATGTGTAACACAGACTATGTGGACGCGGCTATCCATCGACGATCGCCGCAACATATAGCCTTCGTCAGAGATCATACAAACTTTATCGCGCTCGATACCTTGATAAGTTCAGGCGCGGATGTATCCACATTCCTCGACAAGGCGACACCCGTCAATGGTGAACGTAGGTCCCTCCGGAAACTCTGCAATGGAGATTCTGAACCTAAGAACAAACGCTCAAAACGCTCCCAGTCTCCTGACTCTACAATGAATGATAAAAGTCCAAAACGTAATGGTGGTCATGATGAAGTTACAAAGCGCAGTACTCGGTGCAGCAAGAGGTCCAGCGAGTCTCAGATATCGGAAGGTCGCCAGTATTATAAAGTAGTCGGAGTGAGCACAAAATTACGATCAAGTGGTGGTTTTGCAACAAAAAGGAAAGGTTCACCTACCGCGTGTAATGGCACAAAACCTCTAGTCGTTAAGTTTAGAAAAGTAAGACGTTCAGAACTGTCTGTACTCAGTGATGAAGCAGAACAATTTATGTTTCCAAAACGTGCCAGTTCAACCAGCTCAACGTCGTCCGAGGAGCACGACAGTGAGGGAGATGATAGTAAAGAACGACTAAGGCCGAAAAGAAAAACACCACCTCAACCGCAAACTTTGAATGACAGACAGAGGTTGGCGAGACCAGTAGCTCTAAAAGAAGAATCATCTGAGGAAGAAAGTTGGCCACAGCCCCATAGAAAAAGAAAAAAACGAACATCAGTCAGTACTAAAAGAGGAAGGAGGTTGCAGTACAAAAGTCCAGCAGTAGACCCACCTCCGAAACCGCCAGAACCAAAGCAAGCGTCGCCACCCGAAACTGCTGAACCACAAAAACAGCCTGAAGCTGAGATAAGTCCACTAAGAGAGGAGCTTTCAGAGAAATGTATGAAGTGGGAAGATGGAAGACTGAAGTACACTCCGGCTGTAGAAAATTTAGAGTTTGCCTTTGAGTCTGTACCACACAGTGAGCCATGGTTTGAAACCTTTAAGCGTCAAGATCAGGATAAAGTATTGATAAAGAATTTGCCACAGTATTTTGGTAAGTGTGTCTTTTATTACATAGGTATATGTATGTTTTTAATCACATTTTAATTAATTTATTTCTTTTACAGCTTTATACTCCAGATCTCCAAAGTTACCATATGAAATTGGTCAGTTACCATCATTAAAGTCAAAATGTCCACTCAGCGACATAGCGAAGCAAGAAGAGAAACCCGGTCCATCGCGATCGTACGGCACACGTGGTATGAAGAAGCAGAAAATAAAAAAGCGTACACTAGCTTTAATGGCGTTAGAACATCCTAGAAAATCACCAAGAGAACACGCATCTACATTAGCAATACTCGGGTCTGCGGGACTGTTGCATCGGCGGAAACACGCCGAGGATGCAAAATCTACAGCTTCCGAGGACACGATTAGTGACACTCACAGCAATACTAAGGTTGAACCTATACAGTCTGACAACCAAGAAGCGTCTGAAAGGATGCAGCAGTTCTTGTCGGAAGTGTATGAAGACGCGGCTGACTACGACGTACCCGATGACGTTATGGAAGGAGACACGACCGTCACCACGTTTAGTAACATTCCAGATGTCTCCAGCTTAGTCTCCGAATGTGAAAATTGTGATATCATTAGAAATGAAATTAAGCAAAACTCTAATACTGAAGTTAAGAGTAAGAAGGGTAAATTTAAGAAAAAGAATAAAACCGGATGGCCCAGCAAAAGAAAACAGGTTAGGAAAGATTCTCGAAATAGCAGTATGGAGACAGAAAAACCGGAAAGCTTAGATACATCATCCATAGAACCCCCTGATGATGAGACCACTCAGGATACTATTCTTGAAGATCATAGCCTTTCAGAGACTGAAAAAAATGTTACAGTAATTGAAAATACGGCAAAATCTGATAATGAGTTAGAAGAAAGAAAAACAAGTAAAGCTGAAGAGAAAGAATGCAAGCGAACATCGCGATCATCAGCATCAGAGACTGAGGAAAAAGATAAGAATAAAAAGAAGCGTACACAGCTAGCTATTGGGGACTGGTTGCAGCCGATAGTGAGAGTGTCAAGGATGGAGCCGAACAGTGCGCGGCGCCTGCGCTCCGCCGGCAGAGTGCGCGTCAATCGCACCAGGTAGCGCGCGGCGGATACCCCGCCCCCGCCACACGCGACACATAATTTCATTAAAAGACTTTTTGTTATAATTTTGTTGATTACTATTGTGGTAGTCTCATACGCGATGCGTCGAAATTTTTCGTCATTTGTGTAAAGTTATTTATTTAGTCGTGTTAAAATACAAGACAGAAGAATCTAGCTTCATGTGACATGTAAAATATAGTAACAATTCCTACAGATATTTTACTGTAACTTATTTAAATGTTTATAATTTATTGTGTACATTTTCATATCAGTTTTTCTCAGAAACTGATAATTGCTGAGACGCAGTATTTATAAATTAAGTGTATAAAATGTACATTGAAGGCTTATCAAGTCTCCATGTAAATATGTCTATACTTCAATGTTAAAATGTTACTTGGGGAAGCGTGTCTGTTGTTGCATTACTTGAGCTTAGTGTGTAAATAGTTGATGTTTTTTTGTATGTCAGTATGATTTCCCTTTTGATGGATGAAGTTGTTAGACCATCAGTTTCATCAGTAAATATAAAAAATTAAAGCAATATTCTAAACTAAAAGTGGTTTTTTTTAAACAAACTAAAAGTTTCTCTGGCCCCATTAAAACAGATACTGTTTATGTCTGATAATTCCTTTTTACCAATTAATAATTGCGAAATTAAAAAATATTTTTCAAGTTTATATTCCAATAGTAATTATTTTTTGTATAAGTCATGAATTGCAATATATTTACAATTGAGAAACAACCTTGAAAAAAATAGATTGTAGTAGAGTGGATCGAATTTTATATTAACTATCAATATTATTCAATTATTCACTTTATAAAAAATTAATGTGTAATGAAATTTATAAAAACGAGTTGGATTTATTTATAAATATTCATTGTAATTTAAGAGAGGAGAGAAAATGAAAAACAACTGATCTATTCTAACAAGGCTGTATTGAATAAAAACAGGATTTACACTTTTTACATCCCACCCGATAGATGTTACATCATTTCTCTTTCACAATGTTCATTCTTCTGAATAACATGTAAAACAAAACAAACTAAACACTAAGCAGAATCACAATAAATCTTAGACCAATTGTAAGTAAAAAGTGTTTTTAGTTGTAATCACATTTGGTCCAAGAATGTTGAGATTTATTTTAAATCAAAAATTCTATTCATAAATATCTTCTTTATCTGCAATGTATTGAACAATATCTTTGGGCCTCACCAGCCTCTCTGCATCACCGTCAGGGATTTCAAAACCAAATTCATCTTCCATTGCCATGATCACCTCTACATGGTCAAGAGAATCTAATCCCAAGTCTGTCATGAAGTGGGACTCCAAAGTTAACTGGAATAGAGAACAAAACTTTTATTACAAAACCATACTTCGAGTATCAAAATAAAATTGTGTATCAACTCCAAAAAGTATGTACTCAATTTGTTTGAACATTTGTCTAAATATTATTACTATAAATCTTGAAACAATTCTCTGTTCTGTTTCTTGTTTATGGCTCTCCCTCATCGGATTGGGCCAATGTCAAGTAAAACAATTCTCTAGGATTTTAAGCACACATACATGGAGAATACGAAAAGAAATGACATTAATTATAATATAGCAAATGAAAAAGTGCTTTACATTATGGTAGAAAAACTACCTTCTCAGGTTTAACTTTGTCATACAGTTGGAGTACGAGCAGAACTCTTTTCCTAATCAAGTCTAGGGTGAGTGGAGGCCCACCACTGTAGTTGCGGACGCAGAGTTTCGCGTTCTGAAACAAATTTTAAAATATTGTTCAGTACCTTGCTATTAGTCAGTTTGTCGTAAGCCTTGCACACTTTCATAACTCGTTCTTGAATTTCCCGCGGAGATAGCTTAGCCTGCGCACCGGACGAGTACTGTCGGGCATACACCTAAACAATTTATGCAGTTATGTACATTTTTGTTATGCAATAACAATTTTGAGGTTATATTGCATATTGCGCGAAATCCAAATAAAGCTTAGCCCTTGGCGCTAAATAACGTTTCTTAAACATAAGTTCAGGTAAAATTTAAGCGAAATAAATAATTTTATTGTATTGATTGATAAGACCCTTACCCCATTTTGCACTTGAGAATTTATCTTAGCAATGGTTTGCACGGTACGAAGTTTTTGTACAGCGACTACGGTAGATAGCCTACATACGACCGGGGTTCTGTAAGATGTGGATTTTCGTAATAATCCACTAAAAGCACTACGAACAATATTCGCAGCAGCCATTTCGATTCAATTCTATATCTTCATAGACAAAAGAAGAATGCAGAATTTGGAAAATCGACAGCCGAGAAATGTCTCCCCATAGAGTATAAATTAAAATTTTTCGATTAAAATGTCACAGATTAAATATGAAAAGTCTACTTACAGTTATGGCCAGTGCAACCCTTTTTTTAATCTTTTTCATCTGTCACGTTGTCACAGACTTATTGTCAAACTCTAGTTGTCCTTGGTTGTCATTTGTCAAATTCAATTCGATTTGTTTTGTGTGTACGTATGTTGGAAATGATTTTATTGTTTTTAAATAATTAAACAATATCGAAGATGGGCAACGCTGATACTAAATTAAATTTTAGAAAGGCTGTAGTTCAACTAACATCTAAAACACAGGTATTAGAATGTTAATCTTTGTGTTATTTTTAACGCTCGATATTTTTATTAATTTTATATTTATTTCTAGCCAATCGATGCCACTGATGATACTTTCTGGGACCAGTTCTGGTCAGAAAGTGTAACAAACATACAGGATGTGTTCACATTGGTCCCTGGTGCTGAAATACGGGCGTTACGAGAAGAATCGCCAAACAATCTGGCCACTCTTGTATACAAGGCCGTTGAAAAAATGGTGAAAACTGTAGACAATAGCTGTAGGACACAGCGGGAACAACAAAACGGTATGATATTACTTTATTACTTTCAAAGATAAAAACTCTTATTAATTATAGAACATATTTTTTTTATACAGTAAAAAACCTTGAACACGAACTAATAAAAATAAAATCAATTTAATGGAAAGATCATGTTAACATGTAAAACCTACCAGATATGAAATAATAATTAGATTAGATAGTTATAGACATAGGTTTCCTCTTCTGCAACACATAAAAAAACGTCACTCTCAATTTATTTAAGAAAACAATTAACAATTGGCATTTCAAATGTAATGGAATAAATGTAAAGCATTATATATTATTAATAATTCATGAAGAAATACAATCAACATCATCATCATCATCAGCTCACTGCACATCCCCACCGAGGGGCTCGGAGCCTACCCTAAGTTAAGGGTGATACAAATACAAAAGTTTCATCAAATTATTTAATGAAAAAACTTGACTATAAATATATGCATGACTTGCCTTGACTTAAAACACGAGGAAGTAAGATACATACATATATTTTTTCTTGTATGAAGTATTAGTAATAGCTTTTTTTCCAGCATTGAACTGTGCTCGACTACTGACCCGTGTGTTACCATATATGCTGGAGGAACCGGAATGGCACAGCTTCTTCTGGTCATCACTGCCCGCCGCTGGTGAAAATGAATCCATACCTCTTGCACAGTCTCTTATCAATGCTATTTGTGTAAGTTATTAATGAAAGTATTATATGTTTGTTTTTTTTTGTTATAAGTAGTAAAATATTATATCTTACTAATATTATAAATGGATGGATGTATGTTTGAAGGTATCTATGGAATGGCTTAACAGATCTCGCTGAAGTTTGGCATAGACAGGAAGAACACATATACTATTTATGAAGTATTTTTTAGTTCCGCGCGGACGGAGTCGCTGGCAGCAGCTAGTTTTATGTAATGCCAGCTTAGTGTGATAAAAACAATGTTATTAGTGAAATGAATATTTTTCTATCAACTTTTGACAGTTCAAGAACATTTATATTGTATACTCTTATTTGAAATACATAGTAGAGTATTTATATAAGTAACATTGTGTTTGCAGGATCTTCTGTTCTGTCCGGACTTCACAGTTACAAGCACAAAGAGATCCGGTCCTGTGAGTATTGATTATGTTGATAACTTTATATCTTATCATTGTACATTGTTTGGGTAATGTATTGATGTGTGTAACCATAGATAAACTACAAATTTTTTTTTGCTAATACTTTCAAATGTATTTTAGGTAACAATTTACTATTATTTCATTTTTTCACACAGTTTTCGTGACTATGTAAAAAAAGTCGCTGAAGACCTTACTCCTATATATGTTCAGCTTTAAATCCAAACGAGATTCTATCCAAAAACAATGCTATTTTGGGTTAGTTTTGGTTGACTCATTACTCCTAATGTTGGGTACACTGTACCCAATTTTAGATGTAATGGGGCATAAATAGACGCGGTGAGAAAACACTGCGTAGATGACCTTGAGCTATCAAGAAGATTCTATATGGTCGTGCAGGAGCGGGCAGAAGAGCTGTCTTCATTGGACAGTTGCGAGTACATCTGGGCTGGTGGTGTGGGATTCGCGCGCAGTCCGGCGCGCAGTGCGCAGCATGAGGCGGCCCGTGCTGAGCTGCTGCGCCTGCTGCTCACCTGCTGCAGCGAGACTATCTACAGGCCTGCACATCTCGCAGCCTCTCATCATAATAAGTGGATAGCGTGAGTTTGGAATAATAAAACTAACGACCTAAGCTAACATGCAACTTGTTTGTTAAGAATTGCTAGTTAAGAAATTCTGTTTTTTGTATGATGAATATGGGTCACATCTAATTTACTTTTTAATTAATAAAAAATATTTTTCTTTGTTCCATAGTTACCTGACAAGTTCTGAGAACCGTCATGCCTTGCCGCTGTTCACTTCACTTCTGAACACCGTGTGCTCGTACGACCCTGTCGGTATCGGCTTGCCATACAACCACCTGCTGTTTGCTGACACGCTCGAGCCACTAGTAGAGGTACCATAGACACATAAAGCCACCATAGAGTAACTATAGAAAATCGTTATTATTATTTTTTTTGAAAATATTTTTTTTTCACAGGTGGCGTTGCAAGTGCTCATAGTGACATTAGACCAGGATACTAATAATGTCATTAATGGAGATTCAGAGGAAGTGAGTTAATAATTTACTTATTTATCTATTTAAGCTTTCTTTACAGTATAATGTTTATAACATTACATAGAAATGCAGTGATGTAAGGGACCTTAACGCTAATTTATTTTATCAATATCTTTTTTTAGTTTCAAGAGATTTGTGAATGCAGCAAATTAAATCACTAGATGGCGTTAAACTCATTTCGTTCAAAACTTGAAACACATCCGCTAGATGGCGTTAAATACGTTTTGTTGCAGAGTCTCCCAGACAATCTGTTCATCAACTACCTGTCTCGCATCCACCGCGACGAGGACTTCCAGTTCGTGCTGCGCGGCGTCACGCGGCTGCTCAACAACCCGCTGGCGCAGACCTATCTGCCCAACTCCTCCAAGAAAGTCGCCTTACACCAGGAGCTGCTTGTCTTGTTCTGGAAGATGTGTGACTTTAATAAGGTAAAGACGGGTAGAAGTGATAAAGCGGCAAAGTTATTTTGGCCACCTGAATTCGTCTAAATAGCGAAATGACCGCTGCCCATAGATATTCATAACTGCAGATGCATCTATGGTCAAAGGGGGAAGGGAGGCACAGAACAAGCATATTTCCCCTTCCTTCACCACTCCTTTAATAAATCCCCCTTCCCATTCTTATAAGAAAAAGGTGGATAAAGAAAGAGGTAGATTTTATTAGATTGTTTTTTTTTGTTTGTATGCATTTGAAGAAATAATAGTGTCTCTATTTCAGAAATTCATGTACTACGTGCTGAAGAGTAGCGACGTGTTAGAAGTGCTGGTGCCCATACTTTATCACCTCAACGACTCACGCGCAGATCAATGCAAGTTCTCTTTATACTTGTAATGTATTGTCTTATAGCAGGTAGATCACTAGTCCGTAACTATCTCATGTACCCCATTTCTAACCTCGTGGTCCTATGTAACCTTTAGAATCGACTATTAAAAAAAAATAATACCCAAAGTAATCCATAGGACTAAAGTAAGTCGAAAAAAAGATTTTTGGAGGACTTTTGTTTGGGTGTGTCTTTCCTTAGTATTGTTATTACAATTTAAAAAAAAAGGACATTTCGAAAATCGATTCTTGATTAGATGTCAAACTATGTCTGTTACTTTTTACTTATATGTTCTATAAATACGAATGTTTAGATTAACTTATTGATTTTAACACTTATATAGAACATCTTACAAAGTTGCGGTCAATATGGTCAGTGGTCAATATGGTCAGTGGTCAATAACTATTTATGTACCCCAATGTGTAGCTCGCGTGGGTCTGATGCACATCGGCGTGTTCATCCTGCTGCTGCTGTCGGGGGAGCGCAACTTCGGCGTGCGGCTCAACAAACCGTATGCAGCCGCTGTACCCATGGACATCGCAGTCTTCACCGGCACGCACGCTGACCTCCTCGTCGTCGTCTTCCACAAGATCATCACCACCGGACACCAGCGTCTGCAGCCGCTCTTCGACTGCCTCCTCACCATACTCGTCAATGGTATAGTGCACCAATATAAGATGCAATCATTTTATTATAAATGGAGTGGCTATCAGACGTTGTATTTTGTGCCTATTTCATATTTTAATGTTTACTAAAACAAACAACTTATTAAGTTTTTTTTGTTTTGTTTTGGTTCCTTGTCGCGGGAAACAGTTAGTACATAAGCAAAATCGAATTATTTACAGTTAAAAAAATAACGTAAAAACGAGTGCTAAAATTGTTAGTATTTTTTTGATCCTTCGAACTGGATCTATTTTAGACTCATGTTATACGTTTGTTGGTCAGTGTCACCGTACCTGAAGACGCTGTCAATGGTGGCATCAACAAAGCTGCTGCATCTGCTGGAGGCGTTCAGCACGCCCTGGTTCCTGTTCTCGCAACCTCACCACCACCACCTCGTCTTCTTCCTGCTCGAGATGTTCAACAATATGATACAATATCAGTTTGATGGTACTCACAAATACTTTATACTTATATTTCCATTGGTATTTGCACGTATACGTCCACTAAGGACCTCTGAACCTACACTAAGTCAGGGAGAACTAGAACATAGTCACTGTGGCCTAAGGCGAATTGGTTGAAATACATCTATATATAGATTTGTGTTGTTTATGGTTTCTTTCATCATTACGTGGAAGTAAGATACTTTCATTTGAACACAAATATCGAAACCAACATCTATAAATCACAAATTTGTTGGATAATGTATTTCGGATGTATATTATTGTTGAATGTAGGTAATTCAAACCTGGTGTACACGATAA